CCCCCCCAAACAACCTGAAACCCCGAACCCTGAACCGATATCCAAAAGAAAAACCTAAGGCAGCCCCGAAGCCGTGACCTTGTTCAGGGTTTTCCAGCTTGCCGAAACCCTTGTTGAAATAGCAACAATTGGATTCTTAGTATTCCTAGTATTAGTCATAATAATCGTAATAATCTACATAAACCCTAATCAGAAGACATCTTAAACCCCAAAGCAAAAAGTCAAAGTCTTGCGGAACCGATAATAAACCCCTCCTCCTTAAACTAGCGGCTAGCATTTGAGCCTCATCGAGCAACCTCGGTTGGGCCACGAAAAGTCGAAGACCAAACCGATTTGGGATTTGGATCGTTCTCTAAATGAGGGTCCCGTTAGGTCCCAACATAGTGCGGCACCCTTGTAAAAGAGACCCGAAAAAGGATCCTAATCTAGAGAGCTACCGATTTAGGGTTTGGGTCCGCAGAAGCGTTTTCCTGGCTCTGTGTAAGGTCTATCTGCTTTTGGCCGGTCTTTTTTCGGGATTTGGGGTTTTTTCGGTCTTGGTAGGCTGGTTTGAGGTTTTATTGGGATTTAGGGTTTAGGGCTGAGGGATTGGGTATGAGTTGAGGGGTTATGTTGTAAGGTCTAGGGCTGCGGTTGCAGGGCATAGGGCCTAGAGCTCCGAAGATTTGTGGCTCCCAGAGACTCCAATGTCCCTCAAGTAAGACATTTACCTTCAATGAAACAAGGATCCCTAATATGCTTTAAGGAATATTCCTTAATTAAGGGATATTGGAGCCTCTGGGTTCCCACCTGATCGCAAACGCTTGCACCCCGGCCTGCCATCCACCGATCACCCTGCGAGACAGTCTCTTAGGTTAGGGTTTAGGGTTTAGGGTTTAGGGTTTAGGGTTTAGGGTTTAGGGTTTAGGGTAGGGGGTTTAATGCTGGGGTCTGCAAGCATTTCACCCAGCCCCAAACCTTCACAGAAAGTCCCCGTACTCTGGCCCGATAAGTAGCAGGGCCCAGGAGTTTAAGATGCACCGCTCCATCTTCAGTTCCCTAACCTCTTCGACCCCAAACCCTGGCACCATGAACGACCAAGGTTTCACATTCAATCCAAGTTCGCCGGAGCTTCTGTAAGAAGGCAGATCCGAATCCCCCCCAAAACCCATACTGCGAGGCCATTCATGCCTAAAAGATACTCAAGCGCTTCCCCCGAGCCTTCACCCCGTTCGAAACACAACCACCATCGCTGTAAATCTTTGGAGAAAATTACACACCACCACCACCACCACCACCACCGCCGCCGCGAACGCCTCCGCCTCATAATCATGATCACCGCCATCATCACCATCACCCTCATCCCCATCATCACCATCAGCAGCATCATAATCATCAAAACCATCATCATTAGTAGCAGCAGCATCATAATCATCAAAATCATCACCATCATCAGCAGCATCATCACCATCATCGTCAGCATTGGCATATTCATCGTCAATCGCCCTCGTCGTCGTCATTCTCGTCAATGCCATCGTCACTGTCATCATCCGCAAATCAGGGCATTCACACCATTGGGAAACGCCCTCCCCCCTCTCCCGGATACTCCCCCACCGACCCTAAATCCTAAGCCCTTCAGCCCTAAACCCTACACCCTAAACCCTAAACCCCTAAACCCTATACCCTAAACCATGAACCCTAAACCCTAAACCATGAACTATGAACCCTAAGCCCTAAACCCCACACCTTGAACCCCAAAACCCTAAACTCTCCCGAGGCCGAGGCGAGAGGAGGACCCAGATTAGGCCCTTCCTGGCTTGCTGGGTTGAAGCTCGGATCTGGGGTGGGTTTAAGGTTTACTTGGAAGGGCAGGGGGCTTAGTAAGGGTTCTTAAAGGGCTCCTTAAAGGGATCTAGGGATCTATGGGGTTTAGGGTTTAAGGCTTACTTGGAAGGGCAGGGGACTTAGTAAGTAGGTTATAAGTAGAGTTATAAGTACCCTAAACGGAGTTACCCCAATTATCACCCTACTTGTGAACGACTTACTAAGTCCCCTGCCCTTCCAAGTAGGTTTAGGGATGCTTAGGGTAGGGGGTTAGTGCTGGGATTCCTTATATGACTCTTAAGGATTGAAGCTATTGGGTTTCCAACTTTTGGGTTTCAACTGTAGGTGGGGTCGATGATTGAAGTTTGGAGAGGTCTGAGTCTAACGTTTGGGGCGGCTGAGGAAATGTGACCTAGGCTGCCAGAGTTTGAGCGTGGCACGGCGTTTAACATTCTACGGCTCGTCGTGCCGTCTCCTGGCGGCCAGAATGCCACGGCAGGCTGAACCAGCTAGCTGGTGCAAACCCTAAACCCTCAAGCCTAAACCCCTAAACCCTAAACCCCTAACCCCTAAACCCCTGAACCCCCAAACCCTAAACCCCTAAACCCTAAACCCCTAAACCCCTAAACCCCTAAACCCTAAACCCCTAAACCCCTAAACCCCTAAACCCTAAACCCCTAAACCCCTAAGCCCAAAACCGCGGTAAACGACAACTAAACCACAGATCGGAGGCTGTGCAACTTGCCCAGTGTCATTTCGGCTCCAAGGTTAAACATCTGGGGTGGGTTTAAGGTTTGGGGATACTTAATTAGGGTTTAGGGTTTAGGGTTTAGGCGTTTAGGGGTTTAGGATTTAGGGGTTTAGGGGTTTAGGGTTGAGGAGGGTAGGGGATGCGGGTCGATGATGAGCTTTTCAAGCTGGACGAACATGAAAAGCGCCCATGACTATGTCCCTTATCATTAACGATCGTTGCTGTTGCCACTGTTATGACTACTCGCACTACCACGGCGTTATGTTTATTGGCGTGTCCGGCCTCAAAACCCTAAACCCTAAATCCTAAAACCCTCAAGCCTAATGTCTGTTTAGTGTGTGAATGAGAAGATCGTGGCCTGTAACCCTGCGTAAGGCTCCTACCTCGAGCCTCCAGGCTTCAGTCTGAAAGGCGAACTGCTACCAAAAAAAAATCAGGACGACAGTTTAGAGTTTTGAGGTATAGTGCTCTTTTCTTGCAGAAAAGTACACCCCCGAAGGGGTTTAGGGTTCAGGGTTCGAGCCTTCGCGACGTTGGTGAGCACATGAGTCATCCATGAGTCCAAAGCGCAGCATTCACAGGCATTCACTCCGAAAGTCGTGTGGTTTCGTGGTTGCTGTCGTGCTTGACGCGGGTCTCTTCCCTGGTGCGACATGGACGCTCTTCTTGCTGATTTGCTTTTAAATACAAGCGGTCCATCCTTGAAGAGCCCGACAGTGAGTGGAATACTTGATGCGCGGGATCGAATCTGGGCTTGGTACAGTTTTCCTAGAGCCGTTTACGGCTGCAGCAGTGGGCGATCAGCCATGAACATCTGCATCAACCGCGACAACTTCGAATCCAGCATCCTGCAAATGTTCTAAAGACACCAAAAAATTGGGTACTCGGTTAAAGAAGAGTAAGTAGTAGAAGTAGTAGTAGCAGCAGCAGCGGTAGTAGTAGTTGTTGTAGTTGTAGTTGTAGTTGTAGTTGTAGTTGTAGTTGTAGTTGTAGTTATAGTAGTAGTAGTAGTAGTAGTAGTAGTAGTAGTAGTAGTAGTAGTAGTAGTAGTAGTAGTAGTAGTAGTAGTAGTAGTAGTAGTAGTATAGTAGTAGTAGTAGTAGTAGTAGTAGTAGTAGTAGTAGTAGTAGTAGTAGTAGTAGTAGTAGTAGTAGTAGTAGTAGTGTAGTGGTAGTGGTAGTGGTAGGTAGTGGTAGTGGTAGTGGTAGTGGTAGTGGTAGTGGTGGTAGTGGTAGTGGTAGTGGTAGTGGTAGGTGTGGTAGCGGTAGCGGTAGCGGTAGCGTAGTAGTAGCGGTAGCGGTAGCGGTAGCGGTAGCGGTAGCGGTAGCGGTAGCGGTAGCGGTAGCGGTAGCGGTAGCGGTAGCGGTAGCGGTAGCGGTAGCGGTAGCGGAGCGGTAGTAGTAGCGGTAATAGCAGCAGTACTAGTTCCAGTACTAGTAGTCATCGTCGTCCTCGTCACCGTCGTGGTCATCGTCGTCATCATCATCGTCATCGTCGTCGTCATCGTCGTCGTCGTCCTCGTCGTCGTCGTCATCGTCGTCATCGTCGTCGGCATCGGCGTCGTCATCGTCGTCGTCATCCTCGTTGTCGTCGTGATCGTCGTCGTCATCGTCGTCGTCTTCGAGATCCAGAAGCAGTAGCAGGAGCAGGAGAACACGTTAGAAGGTCCAGACGAGGACGAACGAGTGCGTGGGCAGCACGTGGTGGTGGTAGTAGTACTAGCAGTCGTAGTAGTCGTAGTAGTCGTAGTAGTCGTAGTAGTCGTAGTAGTCGTAGTAACCGTAGTAGCCGTAGTAGTCGTAGTAGTCGTAGTAGTCGTAGTAGTCGTAGTAGTCGTAGTAGTCGTAGTAATCGTAGTAGTCGTAGTAGTCGTAGTAGTCGTAGTAGTCGTAGTAGTCGTAGTAGTCGTAGTAGTCGTAGTAGGTCGTAGTGGTCCTAGTAGTCGTCACAGTAACTAGTAGTAGTGGTAGTAATAGTAGTAGTAGTAGTAGTTGTTGTTGTTGTTGTAGTAGTAGCAGTAGTAGTAGCAGTAGTAGTAGTAGTCGTAGTAGCAGTGTCAAGCTTGAACCCGATGTGAGTGCGGACCCTCAGAGTTTGCATCCCCACTCTCCTTCTACATGACTCTTGACATGGCTCTACATTGATGCATGGTAGTAAATGCTAGAAGAATAGCCGCACATCACTTTTTCACTTCAAGCGCAGCACTCGGTGCGACTAGTCCCATCGTAGAGACAGAGAACAGTGCTACGTGACCTGTTAGCAGGACAGGTTCCTGGTGACTACCACCTGGCCTAGTGCCAGCAACACTGCAGGTCCGCTCCGAAGGGCCATTAAGCAACCTACAGAAAGCCCTCGAGAGAGAGGCGCGAAAAGTGTATTCAAAAAGTGCACATCGAGCATGGAGATTCTTTCTCTGCATTCTGCGGCAACGCAGAAGCTCCTCCGCTCACTTGGATGATGGCCTGCCAAGCCATGCGGGCACTGCGATGCCACCCGCGCCAACAAAACTACAAGCTGAAACACGCAACCCTAACGCCTAAACTACCCAAGCGCCAAAATATGATCAACCCATCTCAACCCCGGTAAAATCCCAACCCGACGCCCTACGAAACCCTACAGGAGCCCTATGAAGACTCCAAGAAGCCCAACAAGATCATCAAGCCCTAACCCTAAACCCTAAACCCTAAACCCTAAACCGCACAAATATCAGCTTGAGGACTCAACAAACGTTCTTCGATTCCTCCCTGGCCTTCGCTCCCGGACGAGCTCTTGAATCACGCGAAAAGACATGAATGCACCTGGGCCGAAGAACTCTAAACCCTAAACCCCTAAACCCTAAACAAAATGGCGGCTACTGATGGGGCGTGGGGCTTTAAGCTTCGGGTTTTGAGCCTTGGGGGTGCCGGGCTTGGGACAGAAACCGTTTCCCAGCTCCCATCATGTGCTGCCAATTCACCTATACTGAACTTAGAACCCAGCAAAAAACATAATCTTAGCTGTTTCTTAGGATTATAATAACCAAAAATCAAAAAACATCTAAGTACCCCTAAGTCACCATCATCATCATCATCATCAAGCTTTTTGAGGTTACTTCATCGCCACCCATCGTGAGTGTCATCCACCATGGCTGTCCTGCATCATTGTCATGGTGATGGGCACCAATCTCATCATCGTCTTTACCATCAGCTTCTTTAGGGTTTAGGGTTTAGGGTTTAGGGTTTCGGAATGCGGCAGTAAGTGCGCGGAATCGGTTTCGGGGCATTGGTTTGGCAAAACAAAGAAGCTCGCCGTAACAAAGATTCTGCTTCCGCACTTCTACACTCTGTGCTAGACCTCAGCAAGCGGCTGGCCCCTGCTGCGATCACTGCAGTCGCGACGATGATCAGCCGCTGAGTCTGCACAGAATGCCCCCAGTGGAGCTCGTTTGCAAGCCTCGGATGTCTACCTTAACCCCAAGTAACCTACCTTTTTAAGGACTAGGGAGCCCTAAAAAGTAAGGTTCCTTAGGGTCCAGGTAGGATTGCAAAGCTTGGAATCTGGAGGATCTGACGCATCAAACGATTGGGATCTGGGAGCTCTGGGCGTCGGTGTACTGGGGGTTGGCTTTCTTGTTTTGGACCTGACCTCTACTATTTGCTTAAGAAACCCCCAAAAAATAAAAATAATAATCCCTATATTACCCCCATAAGGAATATATTTTTTATTTTTTTGGGGTTCTTAAGCAAATAGTAGACCTGTCGTGATGTTGACAGAAACATTGGCCTACCACAAACATACGTACATACACACATACATAAACACATACATACATTCATACATACATACGGGCGTACGTACGTACATATAAACCCACATCCACACCCATGACCCAGTCCAGATCCACATACACATCCACATACACATATACATGCACATACAGACACATATACATATACAGGTACAAACACAGATACAGCTACATCTGCATATACACGCATGTGAACATAAATACGTATACACAGACAATACACCTGCACATACACATGCACATGCACATACGCGTGCACATACATCTACATATACACATACACATAGACATGCATATACATATGCATGTACATATGCATATGCATGTGCATATACATACAGATGCATATACATATACAAATACATAAACATATACATATAATTACATATGAGTAAACATACACAGACACATACACATACACGTACCCGTACACAGACACATACACAACACGTACACATACACACACACACACACACACACACACACACACACGCGCGCGCGCGCGCGTATACATACACATACATATGTGCCAACCCACCAACAGCCAGCGAGCCAGCCAAACAGCCACATCTACCAAGCTACCCTGCTACTTATCTACCCATCTCTCTACCTGCCTAGCTACTGCCCTCATTCGGCGATCGTCGTGTATTCCATGTCTTGAACCCGCCCTTGCTCAGGCGATTGCGGGGGATCTATGTTTACCCCGCTCCGTCGGCTGATCCCACTTCTTAAACCCGACACCGCATTAGGTTATGACGGTTGATCAGATTCTTGCTGCGGCAAAAGGTTTGCGGTGTCCTTGTCCATCTCGCCTTTTACTCCGGGGAAGCAGAAGCTCCGTGGTCTGAAATCCCGTCGGTTTTTTGGGGAAGTCTGTTTCGCCGTGAAGCATGAAAACAAGCGAGCAAGCGAGCAAGCAAGCCAGCAAACTCGAAGTTCTTGGGAGCGAAACATGGTCCACATCTTGTAATTTGCAATGCCGGGGCAGCCGCACAGATTCGCTGGTATGTAACAAGAGGACGTCAGCGAAAAATATGCACCGCACCGGTCCCCGCACGGAGCGTGTGTAAATAATCGGACACAGGACCAAACTTTCATCCAAACTTTCATCATTTCATGTGAATACTGGGACGCGGTGAGCCATTTTGCCACGTGCGCAGTGACGCCACCTCAGTCAATTCTCTTTACTCTGACATGTTTGGGAAATTACCAAGACGGCCTGACAGAAAAATCAAACAGTGGCTGCGTAGTGGCGTGCCTAGGCAATCAGCTGGACCACACTCACTTAAAGGATCATGGGACTTAGTGACTGGGGTTATAATTAAGGTAACCCTACTTAAAACTACTTATAACCCCTGTTAAGGTACCTATAACCTTACTTACTGAGTCCCAATGATCCTCCAAGTACACCCTAAACCCTAAACCCTATAGATCCCTTTAAGGAACCCTATAGATCCCTTTAAAGAGCCCTTTAAGGACCCCTTACTGAGTCCCCTGATCCTCCAAGCAACCTCTTGTGACAAGCCCGGGTTGGCACTTCACTGCTGCCCCGAACGCAATGATATTGACAACATCCCAAATACACTCAGGGGTTTGGGGTTTAGAGTTCAGGGCTTAGGGTTTAGGGGAACCCTAAACCCCAAACCCCCAACCCCTAAACCCCTAAACCCCTAAACCCTAAAACCTAAACCCCTAAACCCCTAAAGCCCTAAACCCCTCGATTTAGGGTAGGGTCTAGGTTTAAGGAATTGCTGAGGAAAGCCCCGTGGTCAGTTCGGCCCTCAACCTCGGCCCAAAGCCCTAAACTCCAAACCGGAATCAAGACGGTTTAGGGTTCAGGTTTTAGGGTTCAAACTTAAAATTTAGGGTTTAGGGTTCAGGGTTTAGGATTTAGGGCTTAGGTTTTAGGGGTTTAGGGTTTAGGGTTCAGGGTTTAGGGTTTAGGGTTTAGGTTTTAGGGATCAGGGTTTTGAGTTTAGAGTTTAGGGTTCACTGCTTTCTGGACCGGCCCGCTGTTCTGAGAGCGGCGACACCTCATACAAACTCGCTCCGACCCTGCATAGACAACGCCTTTCGCTTGGGGTCTGCCGCAAGCTGATTTAAATTACCCAGACCCCCGGGAGTATCCAAAAAGTAGATCCCTTAATGGGGGTTCCTGTAGAGTACCCTTAGTCGTTTAGGGCCCCAAATTAGAGGATCTACTTTCTAGATCCTCCCGGGGGTCTGGGTAGGGCATTCCGAGAGAGCCCAATACCCCTTAACTAAGGAATATAGCTTAAACCATCATATGAAGCCCTATATAATTTATGCCATATTCCTTAATGAAGGGGTATTGGAGTCCCCTAAACCCTAAACTCCATACCCTAAACCTTATAGATCCCTTATGGATCCCTTTAAAGAACCCTTAGGGGGTATATTCCTTAATTCAGGGGTATTGGGCTCTCTGAGTTCAACGGAAACCATAAATCCTGAACCAGCAGCGACTCGTCGCACACAACAGCCGAGTGCTTGGCAGTAGGTGTCGGAATGCTACGCAGTAGTGTAGGGGCCTTAATATGATTAGACTACGGCTTGAAGGGGTATACTATTATACTATAGCTGTAATAAGGAACCCCCAAAACCCTAAAACCTAAACCCTAAGAACTAAAACCTAACCCTATTCCAAGGCTACAGCAGCCGGCACGCAGGGTTGAGACGCCGATGATCATGAACATCGCCGTGGAAAGCAGGTTGATCTCCATCCTGCAAGCTACAGTCAGACGATTTAGGGCTTGGGGTTTTTGGATTAGGGTCTTAGGGGTTTTAGGGTATTAGGGTTTAGGGGTTTACGGTCTTAGGGTTTAGGGTCTTGGGGTCTTGCCGTTTAAGGTTTAGGGTTCAGGTTTAGCTACAGTCAAGGTGCTTTTAAGCGCAAGACGCTCCCTTTCTGCTGCAGCACAGGTCAAGACCAAGAGCACTCCCCATGAGCAGGTGCACAAAACAGCCCAGTGAAAGAAACTTACAGTTGAAGCCAGGGTGATCCGGGTAACTTGAACCCTAAAGCCCCGAATTCCAAACTATCCCTAAAATGCGGAGCCCAAATCCCAAAAGCCTAATCCCCAAATCCCGGCCAAAAACATTAAATCCTCATGCCTCCTACAAGAGAACGCGTGCCAAAACGAAGAGCCCGGGGTGCCGGTTCCACTCGGACATCTGGTAGGGATGGTAGTGGTGGTACAGCGACAGCGAGGTCAAAACCACGATGCCTGAAGCCATTGCGGGTTCAGAGGCTGGGGGTCGATTTCAACAGTCCACAAAATGATGTATAATTAGGGCCCTATATTAAACAATAGGGTAAATTAAGAATTATCCCAAATCGATACATACTGTAGTATATCATATACATGAGGACATCCTCATTAAGGCTCTATATTAAACACTATTTTCCGGATATCTGGGAGAGACGGTTGATGATACAAATCCTGCATTCCCCATAATAAGATACCATCATTCCCATAGTTTAGGGTCCTTGAGGTAATGCAGGATTTACATCATCAACAGGAGCGGGGTTTTGGATCTGGGATTTACGGGTTCAGACCTTCGAGTCCCCCGCGATATCCACGCGCTTCACCCGGGATCGCGAGAAAAACACTCCCGGGGTTTAGGGTCTAGGGTTTCGGGTTTTAGGGTTTAGGCTTTTAGGGTGTAAGGTTTAAGGGTTTAGGGCTTAGGGTTTTAAGGTTTAAGGTTTAGGGGTCTAGGGTTTAGGGTTTTAGGGTTTAAGGTTTAGGGGTTTAGGGTTTAGGGGGTCAAGCAGGAGGCCAGCTCCTAGCACAAGGGACGACGGGCAGGAGCGCGTAATAAGGGGGCCTTAATAATTAGACTAGGGTTTTGGGGCCATTAGACTGTATGTATAATAGGGAACCCCCGAACTAGTATAGGTAATTATTCAGGCCCCTAACATATCTGCTCCAGATTCAGCCTTGAGTCAAAACCTTCGTGCGGAAGGCTGGCAACTATGACTATGATTGCCATTAGTGTCTTTTGCTTCATGAGTACCTTTATTGCTATAAGCCGTATTATGACTACTATCCCTATTTTACTAGTATCCCTAGTCTTACTATGGCCCTCGGCTCGAGAGCTTAGGGTTTCTTTATAGGGCTACTTAACGGATCATGGGACTTAGTAGCTAGGGTTATAACTAGGGTAACTCTACTTATAACTACTTACAACCCCAAGTAAGGTACTGATGGCCTGAGTTACTAAGTCCCATGATCCTCCAAGTAAGGGCTAAATTAGGGTCTAAACCTTCCAAGCTCTCTCGGCAAACAGTCTTTCTTTGACCCTTAACCCTACACTTTCTATTCCTTCTAACCTCTTTTTGAACCGTAAACCCTATACTCTTTAACCCCACCAGTCTTTGCTTTCCCTAAACCCTAAACCCATCTAAACCCTAAACTCCCACCTTGCTAGGTGGGGCTTTTAGAGCCTTTGAAAAATATTGGTAAATAAGATCCTCTTAAGCCCAATAAGGGAAAATATAAAATGTCCCAAAGCCCCACCCACCTTGCCTAGGCCTCCCATCCGCAAGGCCGGCGAGGAGGCAATGGGAAGCAGCGCTCCGATAAAGGTGAAAAGCGTCTTCCTTCCCGACCCAGAGTTTAATTAAGGAATATACCTTAAATTATAATAGGATCCCTAATATGATTGAAGGAATATTGGAGTCTCTGGGGAAGGCAGGGGTCCTTAAACGGGTCCTTGAAGTGCTCCTTTTGAAGGTGAGAAGTGTCTTCTTTCCCGGAAGCAGGCACTGAAGATCGGTTTAATCTGGTCGAATTTTCAGCTTTGAACAACTCCTCTGCGTAGTTCCTATGTGATTTAGAGTACAATGTGTCCCAACACAAATTCCGAAGTTGTTGTCTTCAAGGTTTAGAGTTTCGGGCCATGGTTCAAATTTGTGGACATGGGAATTGGACTGAGGGAACTAGGATGCCTCCATCATCCCGGTAAACCGGGATCCCTGAAACCTAAACCCTGGACCCTACAACTTATTTGTTTTGGGGGCTGGGGATCTGACGTTGCAAGACAGACGGCTCCAACTTGAAGCATCACACCAGGGAGACGTAGCATGTGATACAGATTCTTGATGATGCTATCTTAACATGCGTTCTGGAGAAGCCTGGTGCTTCGTGTCTACTGTGCTGGCCGTCGCCAACGCCCTCAACATTGAACTGCATGGTGGCTCTGTAATGCTTCTTCAGGTTCAGCTCGAGAACGTTTAGTGTTGAGGACTTTACGGTTTGGGGGCTAATGTTGAAAGGTTTAAAGGTTTAAGAGTTTAAGAGCTTAAGGGCTTGGGGTGTTAAGTTTGAGGGCTGAACAGAAACAGAGTTGGGTAAGAGAGATTGCAGAAACTGATACGTTGAGGATCACTACACCTTGCTGAAAGAGCGCACAATGTCACTACACATCAGCACAACAAACGGACAAAATGCCCGAGTCGATCCAAAAACACACGCTGCTACCCGAAATCTGCTGTAAGTGGCCCTGCTTGAAAATGGAGCTGTCCCCATCTGCAAAGGCAATGAAGAAAGACTGGCCCGCAGCTTGTACTGCGGGCGTTTTGCTTACAAGGCAAGGGGTCCGTGTATCATTTGGGTGGTTGTCAAACTTAGGGTCCATTTTGGGTCCTTAATATACTACGGCACCTATGACCCAAAAAGGGACCATAATCCCGACAACCACCCGTTTAAACTGCAGATGAAGACAGCAAAGCGTGTTTGAAGAGCGGAAGACGCAGAGAACCTCGATCTCCTTGTGCAACTCGCATTCTCAAGTACACTGGAACACGAGTAGAGGCCCCTAAACCCTAAACACCCTAAACCCCTAAAGCCCTAAACCCTAAACCCCTAAACCCTAGGCCGTAGACCCTAAACACCCCTAAACCACTAATGCCCTACAGCCCTAAACCCTAAACCTCCTCATCATGCTTGGACTCGGCATCTTCTCCCCCACTTTAAACCCAACAGGCAGCAGTTGAGGTGGATTTAGGGTTTAGGGTTGACAAACATGAGTGGTTCCAGTGCGACATGGCTAAACGGCAATGAACAGCCAGATGCTCATCCTTTCACTATGAACCGCCAGGTTGATGTCACTTTCTAGTGCTGCACTTGGGGGTTTCCGAAAATCGGGGGTACCTTACTCTGGGGTCCTTATAATAAGGATCCTACTATTTAGGGTACTATTTTAGGGTCCCCTATTCTCGGAAACTCCCACTTGATGAACAGAACTGGAGCGCCTGACAAGTGCCCGTCGCGATCTTCTCAAGAAGAAGAGACATCGAAAAATCTAAAGCAACAAATTCGAAGATAACAGAAGAACACAAAAAAGAGACAGAAAAAACAGACGAAACTCTCTAGCTATACGGCGCCAAATCTGAGCGTATTGATGCTTTGTTGTGTCCCTGCGTTTGATGCTCTTTCAGACGGACCACGGACCTCCGAAAGTTAGGATTTCTGCATCTTTAACATCCAATTGAACTAGATCTGGAACCTCAACCAAAAAAGAATGCTTTCAAAAAACACAAGAGGATACATAATTAACTCGGAAGCTGCTCCTCAGCCTTTCCCAGGAAGAGAGACTCTTAAGCCTAGGGTTTGGGGCCTAGCGTTTAGGCTTAGGCTTTGGCTCGGTTGCGTTATGATAAGGAAAAGCGCATTCAGAACTCCAGGGCTCCTGACCAACCGCTCTGTTTCGAAGAGCGAGAACTCCGGACGGTACTTGCTGGTCAGGAAGACCACATGGCTGGGTAGAGGCTCCTGCCCGGGAACCTAGGAACAGTGTTCCGTAAGTGAGGAATACCTCAACTTATGGCAGGATCCCTGATAGGACTTTCAGGAACATAATTAAGGGATGTTGGAGTCTCTGGGAAGGTGTCTTGGGGTATGAGCTTGAAAGCCTCGGCTCGGGATTTCCGAGTTTAGGGTTTGGTTTTTTCGGGCCCTAGGGTCTTGACTGTTGGGGTTAGGGGTTTAGGATTTAGGGGTTTAGGGTTTAGTGGTTTAGGGTTTAGGGTTTAGAATGCAGAAGAAACTTCGGCGTCTGGCCTTCTGATCCCAAGCTGGTAGTCCCAAGCCCGAAGCCCCAGCCCACCTCCGCGGATCTGGAGAGGTTGAGCCTGGGGAAGCTTGGGTTTAGGGTTTAGGGCCGTTTAGGGCCGTCTAGGGCTTGAGGGTGTTGGGGGTTTAGGGCTTAAAGGTTTAAGGGTTTCGGGGATCAGGGTTTAAGGGTTTCGGGGTTTAGTTTAGGGTTTATAAGGGTTTCGGTTACCATCCAGCTCTCCACGTTCCAGAAGAGATCAACACAACTACGGTTGATGATATAAATCCTGCATTACCCATAATAAGGAATATACCATAATTCCCCTAGTTTAAGGTCCTTAAGGTAATGCAGGATTTATGTCCCTAAACCCTAAACCCCTATAGATCCCTTAAAAGAGCCCCTTAAAGGTACCCCTACAGATCCCTTTAAAGGAACCCTAGGATTTATATCATCAACCGTACGTCGGGCTTAGGATCTCGGAGGGCCGAACTGACCAAGGGATCAGGTCCATCGAATTCCGTGCTCCTGGAACCATGACATGTGGGTGGTTGTCAAAATTAGGGTCCTTTTTGGGGCCTCATTATAATACGGCTTTTCATATTTAGGGTACCCCAAAAAGGTACCTTAATTTTGACAACTACCCATGTCAGACCTCAAAGCTCTGAACACGAAAAGTTTTGCCCCGAAGAGCTCACAAGTCAAGAGCACCGCGCTTCTCGCCGACATTCCCGGAAGCATCCTGCCAATCAGAAGATCGCAAACCCTCGAGGCCGATCTAGCTTCAGTTAGATAGCGTTTAGGGTTTAGGGGAGTCGAGTATGTTGAAAGCAACCTCAAGAAGACGACGTCACAGACCTGCCCCCCTGGACCCTCGGCTAAACCATAAACCCTAACCAAAACACTAAACCCTACCTAAACCCTAAACCCTAAACCCTAAAGCCTAAACCCTAAACCCTAACCTAAACCCTAAACCCTAAACCCTAGACCCTAAACCCTAAACCCCTTAAAGGCCAAGAGGCCATGTGCAGACACAGGCGGTCATGAACAAGAGGAGGCCCCCGCCCACCTCCAGGAACAGAAGCTTCAAGCGTCCAGGATTTCGGGATTTCGGGTTTGGGGTTTTGAAGGTTTAGGGTTTAGGGTTAGGGTATAGGGTTTAGGATTTCTAGTTCATGGTTGGGATAGGATTAAACATGTACGCTCTTATTCGTTATTGGGTTTAAGTACCCATAAACATGTAAAATGTTACCCAACTATGACAAAGATTTCCGGTTTCGGGTTTGGGGTTTGAAGGTTGAGGGTGTAGTGTTTAGGGTTTAAGGAACAGTCTCATTGGATGCGTGAGTTTTGAAGCTCTGTAAGACCTACAACCTTGGTCTTTAGGGGTTTGGGGTCTCGTGCTTTAGGCCTGACAAGGGCTTAAGGGTCTGAATCCTGAGAGACCACGAACCATTGCTGCTGTTTCCGGGCTTAGTGCTCCAAACCTTTTGGAGAAACCCGATGTCCAACAATCGATAGTAGGATAACATAAAGCCCTAAACCCCAAACCATCGTAGGATAACATAGAAAACTAAACCCCAAAGCCATCGTGGCATGATATGGAATCCTAAACCCTAAACAGGAATAACATATAGCCCTAAACCCCAAACCCATTATAGGATAACATGGAACCCTAAGCCCCAAAACCCATCGTAGGATCACACAGAACCCTAAGAAGCTCAAGTCTACCTTCTCAGCTCACAAGGCCTGCAAGACACCAGTCAGCCCCGAATCTCCGGGAAGGAAAGGAAAGAGGCGGCCCTGCAGGCCAGAGCCGCCGTCTCGCAGCACGCGGTAGCCTAGCTAGGATCGCGGGGTGTGGGGTTTTGGGGGGTTTGGGTTTTAAATTTAAGGCTTCGGGCTCGGGGTCTCTACGGTTTAGGTGTTTCCGGTGGAGGGTTTCGTGTTCAGGGTTTAGGACGTAGGGTGTCGGGTTTCAACTTCCCAAAACCCGATCACGGCTCAAAGCTTTGGAGGGCATCTCGAGTTGCCGGGGTCCGGGCACGGGGTGCCTAAGAGTTTGCCTGCTTCGACCTCCTGCGAGCATTGATGGCTTGCTGTTTCGACGGCTGGGCCCCCGACAGACCATGTACTTGCCGAAGTCGGCAACGATTGTCGGCTGAAAGCAATTCAGGCCTCTGTCATGCTTAAGGGATCATGGGACTTAGTGACTAGGGTTACAAATAGGGTAACTCTACTTATAACTACTTATAACTCCAAATAAGATACTTATAACCTTACTACTAAGTCCCATGATCCTCCAAGTGGTGATTGGCTGAGTCCCGGTGCTTCCTGGACTGCTGAGGCTCAGATTGCATGCAAGTGTCCATCATGAGTCTGCTTCTTCGACAGGAGTTAGGATCAGGGGACCCTTGAGGATAGAGAGCTTCTGAATAACGCCCCTTTTAGGGTTAGGAAGCGTCCCCTTGAAAGGGGTCTCCCGAATGCTAGGATTCGAGCTGCGGCCCACATGCTTTAGCTTTGTCGTAAGACAGCAACGAGGCTCCGCCAGGGTTCAAGCCACACCCTTCAACATAATGTAGGAACCTAATTAAGAAACCCTGGGACTTCATTTGGGTTCCGAATATGAAGCCTACTATATTGGGGCTTACAGGGCCCGGGTTTCTGAATCAGGTCCCTGCCTTTGGCTTTGATGTTTGAGCATCTGATGTTTGCAGCTCCTCTAACATCTACAAGTGGAACATCTTGTCTTCTGATGACTCTAAACCCTAAGCCCCTGTAGCCTAAACCCTAAACGTCCCTAAACTCTTGAACCCTTCAGGCGCTCTAGCCTGCAACCAGGGCTGCGCGAGAATCCCTCAATGATAGCAAGGCAACGAGCACCACTGCCACAACCTGCAGGGATCGGAGGGAGGGGGAGGGGCACTTTGGAGGAGGTCTCAAAACAGTTTAGGGTTTAAGGTTTAGGGTCAGGGCTGGCTAAAATATCGGTTGCTACGTAGAGGTGCCTGTTCAATATTAGGACCCCTTACATTTCGGAGTTCGCGCTTGAGGATACGGTTTGCAGCGTCCTCTTACGACTCGAAAGTGTCATGGTGCTGGCTTGTGGAGGGCAGTAGGATGCGACTGCGGGTTTATCGGAAGTACGGTCTTTATTGCCAACATGCCCGAAATAGCACCCACAACATACCTTCCCAACTGTTCCTTCGAAGCCCTATGTGCACTCACCAAAACCCTCATTCCCCACTTCACAGGAGCGAAAGGCAATCAGAAACTCGATGAGGCGTTCTACGGAGGTTCTTTCAAAGCGGTTCTATTTGCGTTCTTCAGGGTTTGGGGGGTTAGGCTCTGAATCCAACCACATCGCCAGTTCAGCAAAGTGACGACATCCAGCAGGTGAGCACCCAACCTGAGCTACTGCCGGTGCAACGACATCCCAGATCCCAGAAATACACCCAGCTAGATGTATTGCTAGGATTTGGGGGTTTCCGAAGATAGGGGACCCTAATCTGAAACGATAAATAGAAAGATCGTTATTACAAGGATCCCAAAATAAGGTACCCCTACTGTTCGGAAACTCCCATTTAGGTCCCTACATCCCCTACGACCCTCAACAAGAAAGACAAAGTGAGGAAGCCAAGCCACAGTGTCTTGCCGAGGCCGACGTAGGACAAAAGGCACTGCGAGGAGGTGTTGAGTGGGGATCCTGCGACGAGATTTACAGATAGTATCCCATAGATATTCCACAATATACTCTAATACACTAAACATTACTATAACATACTAAAACATACTGAGAAAATACCACAAAAGAATATTCCAAAACATAGAGGAAATTCCTCCGTGCCGAGGCTTCGGGCCCTGGGCTAGGGATTCGCAGCATCAATGCGATCTGAAACACAGTTGAATCCAAGCGTCTCTCCTCCCTACATCCCAAACCCAAAAAACCCTAAACCTCTACATCCCAAACCCCTAAACCCTAAACCCCCAAATCCTAAGCCCCTAAACCGATTTGGGATTGACTTGAAGCACACAACCAGAACCAACCTTGCGCTGGTGACTAATTACGCTTTGTCTCGAGACTTCTGTCCTGTATATAATATAGTATAATATACACTATAATATACCATAGCTTAATACACTATATTGTGGTATAATCTGAACCCACAACAGGGCATGTCCTTGTCCGGAACCCGTCTCAGCCATGGTCACAGTGGCATCGAAGAAGAAGTTCACCTTTGCGCATGTCACAGATTCCACTATAGGGGCCTTTATGATTAGAATGGGGTTTTGGGTCATATTATACTTTAATATAACAAGGAACCCCTCAAGATAGTACAGGTAATTAATAAGCCCCCTATATTCAACGAGACACCAGAGTTCACGACGGGCCCGGGGCCCGGGCGGCTTCGCTTTTCATGTCCTTCGCCGTCTTGGTGTTCAAAACCGCTTCAAGGATCCTCAGCGCGCTCCTAAATGCACAGAAGAACCGAGGGAAGATGCCCAGTACCCCTTAATTAAGGAATAGACCTAGGGCTTTGAGGGATCCTTTAAGGGATCTATAGGGGATTTATAGGGCTTAGGGTTTAGGGGACTCCGATATCCCTTATCAATTAAGGAATATAGCTTAAATCATAATATGAAGCCCTACATAATCTAAGCCGTATTCCTTAATTAAGGGGTATTGCCGGGTATTGGGCTCTCTGGGAACCGAAGGAAGATGCCCAGTACATCCTTTAAAGGGGTATTATAGGGGCTTTAAAGGCTTTTTAGGGGTTCCTTTAAAGGGGTATCATGGGGGTTGTAAGGGGCCGGCGTGTTGCAGATCGTGCTGAAAGCCATCAGCTGGTTCAGGTAGATGCCGCTGTGTGCCAATTCACCAGCCTCGGCTACTTGTATCATGCATGCCTTATAAGTGAGGTTCCCCCTGCGTCCTGTAGAGGGCAGATCAAGCCTAAACCCTGCGCAAACCCTAACCCGTCCCCTTTTCGTGTCAAGCTTCCCGCGTGGCCCTGAGAACACTCATGGCCGCAAGTCCGAACAGGAAGGCGCGCTGCGACAGGAATGCGATCCACTGCATCACCTGCACTGTAGCTGGTGATGCAAAGGAGTTTAGTTTAAATTACCACAATCGGGATCTATAGTAAAATTTGGTTTTCTGATAATGGCAACTGAAATTTATGATCTATTGCACGACCTGCACTGACCTACTCCGAAGATCTGGTGGTAATTATTTTCTGGGGCCATGCTCGTGAGCTACGTTATGTGTCTCGTGTGAAACTCGCCTGACCAACCTTCTGGCCCAGAACTAAACTACAGTATACTATGGTATACTACAGTATCTTACAGTATATCAGTATATCATAGTATAGTATAGTTTATTATTACTAATTATAGTCTATTATAGTATATCATGGGACATTATGGGATATTATCCCGATGGAGCCCGTAATTCTCAACGTCTCGCGAAGCAGAGGAAGCTCCCAAAAGCACCGCCGTTTCGACTACTTTGAAGTTGCCCTGAAACAAGGGAAAGCACGAACTTAGAAGCTGCCCCCACCCTGTAATAGTGACTATAAGCTACTATTTGCTTAAGAACCCCCAAAAAATAAAAAAATGTATTCCTTATGGGTGGTAATATAGGGATTATTATTTTTATTTTTTGGGGGTTTCTTAAGCAACTAGTAGTAAGGATTATATTGAGGCCCTATTATATTCCTATCAGACCACTATTACAGGGTGGGGGCCCCTTCTAAGCAAGAACACTCTGCCTGCATACCGCGATCATCACTGCAGGCCGTGCCTCGGAGGTGCACCCACAAAATACAGGAAGCCCTTTAAAAGGATTTAGGGTTTAGGGTTTAGGGTGCTCCTCGAAAACACATCCCGGGCCTCCTTGAGTATACAACTTTAGGGGAGCCAATGCATTGCGTGATGAAGTGCTTCCAGCGTGTGCACCACATTTAGTATTTACACTCTAGACGATGAGGGCTGGAAAGTCTGCGAGTTCACAATAAAGCAACCGACACCCGGGCCGCCAAGGTGCATGCAAGCACACTGCTGTCTGCCATCGCATGGCTATTGCTGCAGCTCGTGCAGCCCGGACCCCGATAGCCTTGGAATACGGTTTAGGGTTTAGGGTTTTGGGTTTTGGGTTTTGGGTTTAGGGTTTAGGGTTTAGGGTGAAGATTTCCGATGGGTTTTGGCAGATGGAGCACATGTCTCCGGAGATAGCTAGTAGCTGGAACGAGAAGCCACACACAGCAGGCGCCCAAGAACAAGCCCAAATGTCTCACCCTTGCGTGGGCCGAGACCCTAAACCCATGAACCCCCAGACCCCTAATCAATCCCTAAACCCACACCTCTTGCGGCCCCGGCGGCCCTCTTGGCACATGGCCGTTTCGATGCGCCCCTGGAACACGTTGCCCCCGGGGCAGGCAGCCTGGACAAGGCCGGACTGGAGCCGAAAAGGTAACCAGAAGCCTCCAGGGACCTTATTATGGGGTCCTTAAGGTGTCTGGGACCCTAACTATGAGGTCCTTGGAGGGATAGGGTTAATACAATACAAATTAATACAATCTACTATAGTAAATTCTGATATGTGGAAACATATTTTCAGTAATTTGTAGTACAATCTACTAAAGTAAAGTCTGGCATATTGAAACATGTTTCAGTGCAGAATAATCTGCTATGGCACATGGATGCACAGGTCCTCTGAAAGAGGGAGCTCCAGCCTAAGCCCGAAACATCAGAATCGAAACATCCGAACCCTAAACCCTAAACCCTAAACCCTAAACCCTAAACCCTAAACCCTAAACCCTAAACCCTAAACCGTCATCGTACGTCTTCCCGGCCTCGTTAGGGCAATGGAAGCTGCGGCTAAGGTTCGCAAGGTTGTCCTGAAGCTCCACCATGAGCCCACGCCTCAGTTCCAAGAGCACCAAGGCTTCGGCCTTCTTTGCGTGCGATGGCACTCTCCGGTTTAGGGCGTAGATTTCAGACTTTCCCACAACAAAGTTTTAGAACTCCACGGCATATTCATGAAACTTATGATGGCTATGACATTAGGATGGGTTAGGGGCCGGTTAGGTTATAAGCTTCCGGAGTTAGGGGTTTTGTCGGCGAAGCACTCCATCTTCATCTCGCCGGCCAGGCATGTAAGAGCCCCATCCGGGCACCTGCTGCACGACCTGGAGACGTCAGCGCTTCATGTCGGAAACGGTCGAAACTTGCTGGAAAGCAATTAGAAAGCCACTTCGAAGATGGCAGTTCTACTGAAAGTTTCATGTTCCAAAGCCGGAACTGGGCATCTCCGCGACAGGAGAATGACACAAGCTGCCACACCGACGCGACATAAACTACGTCCCACCAAGGCTAACTTCAAGAACAACCCAAGCTTTGGGGTTTAGGACTTTTTTTTGGGGGGTTTAGGGTTTAGGGTTTAGGAGTTTAGGAGTTTAGGGCTTCAGGTTCGGGGTTGAGGGTTTAGGGGTTAAGTCTCTGCTTAGGGTTCGGGCTTGAGGGCTTTGGGATTGATTTATGGATCGCCCTGCTCGCCCTTGATACGGCAGGCCTGTTCGTCATGTTCCAAATCTGTGTGTCCCCTGGCTTGCATGCCTGGCAGATCTTTGGCATCTCGAGGTTTTCAGGTCATCCATCAAGTTTCTTGGCAAGAGTATCGCAGGGGACTTCGACTTCTGTTCGACAGGAGCTTGAAGCGAGAGCTTGGCGGAGGGGCTTCAGCGTTGACTTTGAAGAGAAGCTTCCAACCGAAACTTGTTGAAGGGGAACCTCGGGGAGAGCCACTTCGGTGTGCCCATCTAGCTGCCGCCTGCACTGCCAGGCAACGACGAGGCCAAGGCTAAACTCAAGGTTAAGGGTGCAGAGCCTGCAAAGAAAAGTCGCGCGATCTCCCCGAAGAATTCACAAGAGCCTGGTTGAGCCCTACGATGTAGAATAAGGTTATGGGGCCCATTATGCTATATTCATGCTAAGGAGGTATTGATAATTTTTGAGGACCCTCTTTGTAGAGGGAATGCAGGCCAGCGCTGCGAGGCAGCCAAATTCCTCCGAGTTCCTGAAGTCCACTACACCTGTGCCCAAAGGGCACTGGAAACCAGCGCTTTGGCTGGCGTTCGCCAAGAACGTGCCTAGATGGGCAGCAGGAGCAACCCAAATTAATTCAACTCGACTGGAGGCTGAAACACATCTGCACGTCTGCAGTGCAGTGGCAGGTGGCGGTCTTCGTACAATCGATCTCGTGTTCCTTCCAGATCACCACGCATGCACAGACAGTCCGCGAACGCACCACACCCTGCTAAGCGAAATCAAAAGGCTTCCGAGCGGCGAAAACGAGATCGTGCGCCGCGATATAGATGCCAAAGCTGGACTCTGTATGCTGGTGAACGGTGTGCAAGTCAACGGCACGGAGCTTCAACTCGCCTGCTCGACCGGACAGAGTGCTGGCAAGTCTGAAGCACGACTCTGCGGCTTAGAGAAGGAGGAAGGAGGAGGAAGGAGAAAATGGGGGGGGGGGGAGAGAGAGAGAGAGAGAGAGAGAGAGAGAGAGAGAGAGAGAGAGAGAGAGAGAGAGAGAGAGAGAGAGAGAGAGAGAGGGAGAGAGAGAGAGAGAAGGAGAGAGAGAGAGAGAGAGGAGAGAGAGAGAGAGAGAGAGAGAGAGAGGAGAGAAGAGAGAGAGAGAGAGAGAAGGAGAGAGAGAGAGAGGAGAGAGAGAGAGAAGAGAAGGAGAGAGAGAGAGAAGAGAGAGAGAGAGAGAGCGAGAGCGAGAGCGAGAGCGAGAGAGAGAGAGATAGAAAGAAAGAAAGCAAGAGAGAGAGAGAGAGAGAGAGAGAGAGAGAGAGAGAGAGCGAGAGAGAGAGAGAGAGAGAGAGAGCGAGCGCGCGCACCCCCAAAGACTCCGGGACGAGCAACGACGCTTGACCAGAGAGCCGTCTCATCCGAAAGCGGTACTCACTGTACTCAATCTGATGTTTTGGCCTGAAATTGCGAAGTCGCTGACATGGCTTGAGCTGCCACTCAGCAGCGAAAGCTCCTGAAAGCAATTATGAAAGACTTTGGAGAACGGCAGCAGGTCATGTCCGGTGTCGCATGTCACTGAAGGTACTTGGAGGATCATGGGACTTAGTAAGTAAGGTTATTAATACCTTAATTGGATTTATAAGTAGTTATAAGTAGAGTTGCCCGAATTGTAACCCTAGTTACTAAGTCCCATGACCCTTTAAGTACAGCGGCAGCCGTCCATCCAAACTCACTTCATTCCATGCGACTCTTCCGTTGCCAACCTCAGCCTTCCATGCAGGGTGTAGGGTTTAGGGTTAAGGGTTTAGGGGTTTAGGGTTTAGGGGTTTTGGGTTTAGGGTTAATTACCAAGTTGGCTGAACGATGCCCACATGTCGCGGGTCCTCGATTCGAACTTCCGCTTCTGTGCTATCGCCTGCAATGGCAGCGAAGGCAGCTGCAGCGACGTCAGCATCGCAGCGATCAAGACGCAGCTTTGCAAACCGTCCTGAAAGATCCAAATCCGCGTGCAAAGCGGTTGGGAAGAAACGTCGCAAATTTTAGTTGTTCTGTTGTTTGACTTCTCCGCTTCTCGTGATGTTCTCCATCACCCATGAGCGTTCATTCCACTCCTGTGGCTGCTTTTTCTAGTCAAGCTAGGACGCCCAGAGACAGGCTTCGGGATGGAGACCTTACCACTACCCTTTACTGTCCGGCTTCGTTCCTGCATGGTCCTCCCGAACTACAACACCCGGATAATTGCGGACACATGGACTGGGAGTACGTAGCATGTTGGGCAGATAGATCATCTGATGGTACCGCAATTCCACTGTGCGGAATGCCTGCATGGGTACCAAACCTGACTTGTTCAGCTCGCTGGAGTCTCCGAGAAAGAAACGAGATGACAACATCACGTAGGTGTCTTCTTTTCATTGGTAGAACAGAATGTTGAGGGGTCTGGGTAGTAATAGTAAAACTACAATAAGGAACCCTACGCAATAACTTTGCCGTGATTCAAGCTTCTTTGTTACGGGCCTTGAGCCTTGTCCGCAACCTTCCACTTGCCGGCCTTGGTCGGCACTGGAGTAAAGCCCACCACCGATGCTGCTGGCACTGCACGCCTTTCAATCTCCGCTTCTCTCGTCTCACCGCCGGAACTCGTCGGCTAACTCTAAACCCTAAACCCTAAACCCCTGTGACGTTGCTCTCAGGTTGTGAAGACTCGAAGGATGTCCGGCTGGGATCATGCAGGCTTAGTACAGCTCCAAGTGCCTTTCAGGAGGCCCCCTCCCCATGAAATACAAGAAGTGGTGGGGAAAAAAACAAGCACGGAGAAGTTTTACTGCAAGGGGCTCTGGGGGCTCTGGGGTCTGCTGGTTCGGTCACACGCTCTGGCAGTATGCGGTAACTGCGAGGTGGGCCGCTCCATGCGTTCACGGGGCACCCGGTGCGGGTACAGGGCACATGCATAGCAGCGATAGCAGTAATACCCGAGACATTGGCATGGCATCTGGCTCAACGACCAGAGTCTAGACCCAGCCGTGAAATACATTCTCGAACCCGGCAAATGTACTGTGGGACGGTACACCGCTCGCTGCGATACATTAGGGTTTAGAGCCCCCCCCTATGCGGGCTGCTTCTTCTAACAGCGAGCGACATGACTTGCCTCGGTGGTCGAACCCTACGCCCTGAACCTCTAAACCCCTAATCGCTAAACCCCTGCCCCTGAACCCTGACATCCTAACCCTACTTAAAGGAACATGGGACTTAGTAACCAGGGCTAAAATTAAGAAAACTCTACTTATAAGTACTTAAAACCCCAATTAAGGTACTTATAACCTTACTTACTAAGTCCCATGATCCTCCAAATAGCAACAAACCCTCAACTTCCGCAACCCTACTAAACCCCGAAACCCTCCACCCTCGCAATCAACTCCTTAGTATTCATGCGACGTATTCATGGCGGCCTCGAATGCGAGCGAACCGCCGTGGCGCATTGTGCGGAGCAGTGGAATTCGCAGGCCACCACCTGGCAAGGGCAGCAAAGAGCCCGTTCCAGTGGTCTTTATGGGTTCCGTCACGGGGTCTATATGGGTTCTAGGAGGGAATTAAGGACCATATCCTAAATTATAATAGGATCCCTAACATCATTTAGTCTTACCAGCAGTAATGATGATGATCAGAAGTCTGTGCGATAATGACGACCGGTAGTAGTGAATGGTGATAACAAGAATCCCTAAACCCTCACCATACATGCCGCCTGCCAGGTTTGGGGGTTTTGAAGTGCAGGCCTCATGTTGGGGCCGTTCCGAGATCCTTGCGCTGCAATCATGACTTTAGCGCTTAGGATTTGATGCTATCCCTTCTCTAACTATTAGAATTGGCCATGCGCATGGCAAATGTCCGCAGCCAGTGCTGCAGAGCTCGGTAGTGCAAAGTTCGCCCCGCAGCTAGAAGCTAGTATTGTCCATCACGCCACCATGATTGGCCCACGGCAGTTCCATTCCCGCCTGCGTATGCACGGCATGTCTGGAAGTGCATTGAGCCGTTGCCGTCGAGGCTTCTTGTGTAAGCACCACCTCCTTCCCCTCAGTCGCTTGAGCTGTACAGCAGCGCAATACTCTTGCAGGCAGAATCAAGGGTCAAGTCGAAACTTCTACATGTTCATGTGATGGCATGACGGCTGCGACGGCAAAATCCATCCTCGATTGCCTAGGCGCAATCCGCCGAGCAGTTCTGGAACAGCGCCGAACTCCCGGCTTCCTGCTGGTAGCTGCCTTTGACGTAGAGGCCGCCTCCTTGGGCCACCAGCACTCTCAAAAAAAAGACGTCAGAGGCTCCGACATATTAACGCGTCAGCAGCAGCTGCAGCTCAAACCCTTGCAAGTCCGACATCAGCCTTGATGGCAAGAACCCCCGCTGCCGAGGCTCCGAACTCTGCAGCGCTGCAGCTGCGGAAGATGGCAGAGCTGTTGGGGCCCTGTTTGGAGGCCTTCACGCATGCACCGCCACCCCCACCTGGGAGACAGCACGGGCGCAGATTCAGAGCAGTGATCCCACATCGCACATCTGCCGAGATGCTCGATTTTGACAACAGTTCTGTAGGGATACAGGATGTGTCAGGACTTGGATGTTTCTGTGTTGAGATACGAACCCCGACAAGAACGAAAGGAAAGTGCTGGTGCTGTTTTCAAGGATGAGTATGGGAAGGCGTGGCCTTTCTTTGCACGCATGTGTTCCATGCCATCTGGAGAATCGGGGAGATTGATTCCGAAGCTTACGAGCAGTGAGGTCTTACACGCATAAGAAGAACTGCCTAGTGCTGCTGCAAGGCGTGCCCGCTCTCCCTCTATGGCACTCTATGGTGTGGTGCGTAGCTGCTTAGCTTGCGCTCATGTCGATTATGTACACAGTTCCGCTGCGGCCGTGTCCTCCGACCAAGCTAGGCAAAACCCGGAAACCGCGATTCATGGCAAGTTTCAATGCTTCCGCTTCATTTGGCCTCTGGGAGAAGTATTTTGGTCATGTCTCTGAATCCGGCCAGCACATGACGGGAACGATAATGCCATGAAATACACCATTGCTTCGCAAGGGTGTGGAGTGACGCCAGGGTACCTTTAGAACGCTGATTCTCGCTACATGGTGAGAAGGGCTTTGGCGGTGGTCCCAGCAGTGGTCCTAGTGGTGTCCATCCCATGGTTATCGCGAACCTCATCCACCCTCAACTGCCAAGGAGGCACCTTCTGCCGAACAGTGCTCGAAGAGCACCAAACTCCCGGCTTCCTGCTGGTAGCCGCCGTTGGCATGGAGGCCGCCTCCTTGGGGAACCACCATTCTCAAAGTGCCGGAAAACTGTCAGAAGCCGCAACAAGTTCGTGTGCCTGTCTGGGCGCGCCCTAACAACGGAATCCCAACCCTAAAATCCCTGTACAAAAACTGAACTCTGAGGAGCTCGCAAAGCTCGACGCCCTCAATCCGAGACTCTGCTTTTGCCACACATTTCACTGCAGGGGATGCCATTTGCATGGCAGCAGAAACTAACGACCATGCATGGCCATGCCCTACAGGAGTGCGTCTCGGAACTCCGAGCATCTTGCAACTGATGTTGCCAGGGCTCCGCACTGTGCTGCCCTGCAGCTGCGGAAGATGGCAGAGCTGTTGGGGCCCTGTGCGAAGGTCTTCACGCTCGCACCACCGCCATCCCCTGGGAGACAGCACGAACAATTCGAAGTTCAGCTCCGAACTTCGTTTCGACATGAAGGCTTATCTGTGCGGCTGAACGCGTACGTGGAATGGATAGAGTTTCGTCTTGGCATACTTGGAGGTTCATGGATAGTTATAAGTAGGGTTCTAAGTAGGAGAACTATTATAATTACTTAGAACCTACATCAGGGGACATATACCACACTTATAACTACCCAAGACCTCCAAGTACCAGCAGGGGTTGGGACTCAAGGAGCGGTCTTGCAGACCGGGCCTTTGGATCGATATTCGGGCAAGGTCGAACGGACACTTTGCAGTAACCAAATTTTTCCGGAACTTAGCTGTATACATATATACATATATACATATATATGTATATACATGGCTACACAGGTACATAGGTATATAGGTACATGTACACATGTAAACATATGTGGTCAGGCGTCTGGCGTTCCCAGCCCTCCCCCCCCCCAATGGTATCGTCTGGCAGGGGGTTGGGGGGGGGCTGGCGTGTGTGTGGAGAGGTTCGGGGCTGTTGAGACAAGGCCAGGATCGTTTGCAAGCCCTACGCAAGCCATAAATCCTATAACGTAGCAAAGTAGCGCATGCTCCAGCTTTTATTAGCCTTAACCTAGACTTCAAACCCTACACCCAACCCTAAACCCCGCCTAAATGCAGGATCTATAGGCCTAACCAGAACATAAACTGTCAACCCTAGCGACCTACACCCCAAACCCTCCCTAAGCCCTTGTCGACTCGAAGCCTTGTACCTTTTAACCCACAACCCTAACCCAAAACTCAAAAGCTTAAGCTAAACCCAAAACCCCAAAACCCCCACAACCACCTCACAGGGGGAAGAGGGAACCCACACTCCATACCACAGGAGGGGGGTCATCCCGGACCAGTGGGAGGGAAGGCCACAGGGTGCCCCGTCCCCAGTAACCATGTGCTGCTCCCTCCCCACCTTTGCTGCCTTGACAACATGGGCTTTATTGGTGTATTGGGACCCTGCGGGATTTTGGGCTCCTTCTGCTTCATTAAGATTATTGGGTTCTCGGGGAACCCTGAACATTGAACCCCTGAAGCAAGAGCAGCAATTGGCGTGGACATGATCCTGCATGAGCCACATCAAAGCAAGAAGATTGTGACATGTTAACTGGCACGCAGGATTTCGTCCATTCGCACTCGTGCCGTTTATTGAGATTCAGCGTTTGGAAACGAGGGGTGGCCACACAAAACCGATCCAGGATTTTCGGCCCGGCAGTGTTGGATAAACTCTGGCGCAGCGGAGTTTGGGGTTTTCAAGAAAACGCACGCTGAAGATGCTTTCTCCCCTATAACGGCGAAGTTGAAACTGGATCTTGAAACAATTTCGAGGCTATTTTGAAAGCTGAAGGAATGATTTTGAAACCTGTGAAAAACCATGTGTCCTGGATTTCGTGTAAGAAGGTGTATCCCAAGACATGCGTGCGGCCGCAATGCAGGCCAAGGTCAGGGCCACGAGTGTCCTCTTACAGGCTCGTCGCAGAAGTCGATTGGTAGACGCAAAACCACGTACCGAGAAGGAACAGAATTGAGGCTTTTGCATCAAGGAAGAAGCGTGGCTTCGAATGTCTTGTCCTGTGTCAAGCTGGCCCCATATACCGTGCAATTAGTATGCTAACGCTTAGCACCGATATTTCTCGCTTTGTGCGAGAGTATACTGCGCATGAGGAACATTCTGACATGTGCGCTGTCGGCGCTAAGGCACATATGAATTATACGTTTCTTCGTGCCGAATACATATGGCACTTTCTGACGGATATTGTCAGAATATACATGTGGTCAAGAATGCTTGCGGCTTCTGCCAGCTGAACACAGGCTTTTTGTATTCGGTTCGAAACAACAAAGGATTCTTCCCAAGATTCACTGCAGAATGCACGAAGCAAAACTTCCACATACCATCCATTACGTTACAACAAAGCACAACAGCTTCCTATACCGATGTTACAACAAAAAACATGACCTTCCAAAGGTCCCAAAAGAGTTTCCTTCCCTCACCGAAGGCTTGCTCATGCAACCATGGATATTCAAAAGAGCAAAGAAACTGCGTGTGCAACTCTGCAATCTCAAAATGCTTTGTGCGTCGGGTCTCGCAAGGGCCCCAGGACCGACAAAACCCTTCGTGGTCTTGTGTTTTGCGGGATCCTTCGCGGACCATCAGCAATCCATCTCTAGGCGACATCCCCAAAAAGCTAGTCTTTTGATCTGAAACCCGGCTGTTTGTTTTAACGCGATGCTACAAATACCCTGGTGTGGACACTCGAAGCCGATAGATACTGTCAAAACACCCATGCCAATGCTTATCCTCGACTGCCAAGGCGCTCTCCGCCGAGCAGTTCTGGAACAGAATCGAACTCCCAACGTCCTGCTGGTAGCTGCCTGTGACGTGGAGGCCGCCTCCTTGGGGCACCAGCACTAAATCAAGACGTCAGAGGATCCAACGTTTTCCTGCGTACGTCAGCAGCAACGGAAAGTCCAACCCCAAAAATCCCCCCACAACCTCCACCGTGAGCCTGGTTCCGAAAAAGCTTGCATAGCACGAGTAACATCCATGCACTGCAGGCCCGCGTATTACGCTGCGTTTGGCTGGCAACTCTCGTAAGAGCAATGCTGCCGAGGCTCCATTGTTACCCGCGCTGCAGCTGCGGAAGATAGCAGAGCTGTGGGGGCCCTGCGTGAAGCCAGACACGTGCGCACCGCCGCCATAATCTGGGAGACAGCACGGGCGCGGATTCGGAGAGGAATGAGTTCCAGGGGGGCTTTGTGCTAAACCCTTCCTGCTGTTTCTCTTGCACGGCTAGCCCCAAAGACACTTAGACACACTGCACTAAGGCAAGTAAGAATTTCAAAACCAGTCACCTAGTTTCAACGTGAATCCCAGCGATGCATGTCGGATTGAGGCCGGGCGAGTACCAAGCAGATGCCTGGCAATTGCAAAAAGTCCACATCCTCGACTGCCAAGGCGCTCTCCGCCGAGCAGTTCTGGAACAGAACCGAACTCCCAGCGTCCTGCTGGTAGACTTCGGCACGGAGGCCGCCTCCTTGGGGCACCAGCACTCTCAAAATCAAGACGTCAGAGGATCCAACGTGTTCCTGCGTACGTCAGCAGCAACGGAAAGTCCAACCCCAAAAATCCCCCCACAACCTCCACCGTGAGCCTGGTTCCGAAAAAGCTTGCATAGCACGAGTAACATCCATGCACTGCAGGCCCGCGTATTACGCTGCGTTTGGCTGGCAACGCTCGCAAGAGCAATGCTGCCGAGGCTCCTTGGAAACCCGCGCTGCAGCTGCGGAAGATAGCAGAGCTGTGGGGGCCCTGCATGAAGTTGCCATACACGCTCGCACCGCCACCATAGCCGGCAGTATCTGGGAGACAGCACGGGCGCAGATTCGGAGAAGAATGTGCTCGATTCGGCAACTCAACAAACTGTCACCTGTATAGGCATTCGAGGTCGCGACCGGTAACCTCGTTTCACCCGTACCATCGCGCGGATGCCAAGAGTTCCGATTTTGTGGGAGGTGTACCTTGCCCCACCCCACCCCCCCAGCCTTGACCCACCCACCCCCACCACCCCCGTCCTCGCCATGGGTTCTCCCCTTCCCACATCGCAGTGGACCAGGTGCATCACTCAGTTTTGGCTATGGAATCGCCCTTTCACAACTTGCACTCCCGTAAAAAGGCGGCCAAGCAGAGGAAGCACCATAAATTTCGATGTGTTCACCAACTGTTCACCAACCGAAGGCAAGAAAACGCTGCAAATACCAAGGTTTTGGGAACTCGGAAAACAAACGAGGAACTAAGCACCGACGGCACTGATGCGAAAGGCACTTCGAGGGTAGGAAACGCTGTGAAAACCGATGCAATCGCAATAACAATAACAACAATGATGAAAATGGATGTAAACAAACAAACAAATTCATAAAAAGAAACAAAATCAACAAAATCAACAAAATCAACAAATAAACAACCAACCAAACAAACAAGCGAAACTCTATACAACAGTAAAGGAAAAATCAGAAGTATCAGTGCAGCAGAAGAAGAAAGAATGATATTAATGATGAAAACAAGCATAACAACATAAAAATAGTAATGATAATAACAAAAACGATACAGTAGCAGTTCAATAATTGATTAAGTGCATGGTTAGCTGAATTAAGTAATTAAGCATTTAAGTAAATAAAGAATTCATTAACTAATTAGGTACTTCAGCCATTACTTCATGTAGTTAGTCAGTTAACTAAGTACTTAGTCAGCTCGCTAATTAATCCTCATCACCATAAATCAGAATCATGGTCACAAGAACAAGAACAATGATAAGAACAAGAACACGAACAATACATGAGAAGAAGTACATTGAGTAATATGCAATAATGGCAAGGCGCCATCCGCCGAGCAGTTCTGGAACAGAACCGAACTCCCAGCGTCCTGCTGGTAGACTTCGGCACGGAGGCCGCCTCCTTGGGGCACCAACACTCTCAAAAACAAGACGTCAGAGGATCCAACGTGTTCCTGCGTACGTCTGCGAAGCGAGCAGCAGCGGAAGCCCAACCCCAAAATCTCCCCCACAACCTCCACTCTGAGGAGCCCAGCAGCCCCATGCCCGGTCCCACTAAAAAGGGCTTGCATAGCAAGAGTAACGGTCATGCCTTGCGCCGGCTCACGTGTTGGAAGGCTCCCAGCACGCTACGATTGGCTGGCGACGCTCACAAGAACAACGCTGCCCGGGTTCCGCTATCACTTCAAAGCTGATCAAGTATCTTCCAACCGTCGAAGCAAGCAATACCAGCTCTTGAAATGCGAGTAACGACCATGCCACACACACGGGTCGGAAGGTAGCCGGCACCCTTCGAACACTGCTACCCAGGCTCCGCAAATTTCCGTCTTGCAGCGCCGGAACATGGCAGAGCTGTTGGGGCCCAGCGTGAACTTGTCCACGTGTGCACCGCCCCCACTCGAACCTGGCAGGAGGCAGACAGTGCTGAGATTCGAAGCGCGGACCCACAATTTCTCCAGCACGGCCCCTGGCCAAGACGCACGGAGGCCATCAGCCTCCGCAGCCGCCCCTGGAAGCCCTTCGCAAATCGAAGGACGAAAGAGGCCACCCAACTACCCCGGTGAAGACACCCGAATGCGATGTCTACCGTTAAGAACGCTTATCTACGTCCTGGACTGCCAAGGTGCTGCTCCCAGTTCCCGAGCAGCGCTCGAAGAGCACCGAACTCCCGGCTTCCTGCTGGTAGCCTTTGGCGTAGAGGCCGCCTCCTTGGGGCACCAGCACTCTCCAAAAGCAAGACATCAGAGACTCCAATACCTGTCCGTTTGGGACAACTCGAATGCTTAAAGACACGATGCCGACGAGACATAACTTACCATCAACAAGATCTTAAGTCTCGAAGCTGGCGGCCTACTGCCCTCAATAATTAGAATGGGGTTTCGGGGCATACTATACTATACTTATCAGAAGGAACCCCCCAAAATAGCACAGGTAATTATTGAGGCCGTTCTAGTAACGTCTACAGCCCCGGCTCCTTTGTTTGCACTGCAGCTCTCGAACTCGACGTCGCTGTTTCTGGTGATAAATTCTTTCTCGATGAACAGGGCTCCACCAAATCCTGCCTGGCCGATCGAACAAAAAATCCATTCCGAACCTGCAAACTTGACACCCAAACCTGGCTGTCGTCTGAGAACCGTGAGTGAAAGCTGTCCCAATTCGTGTGGCTAGCACAACATGCAATCCAACTCGCTGCAGCAGGTCGCACAGTGCATCCGTGTGCCAGAGGTTCCAGGAAAAGACTTCCGGATACTTCCGGCCAACTGCTTGTGGGTGAACACAGAAGCGAAAGATGAAAGTGACGACAATTCCTCTTTCTGCAAAGGAGGCTGTTCGATTGCGATTGATGTACACAGCCAGTCAGGCTTTCTCACGTCGTTGTAGCATAACGCTCGGCCGGCCCCCGTGGCAGGCGACCTGCCCCACTCAAAACCGAATTCCGACAAAGCAGGGTTGGATGCCAACTTCACCATGTGGGAGTTTCCGAAAAGAAAATCTGGGTGCAGCGATGCATATACAAATAGCCATGTGTTCGGGCTTCCCCATGTTCGGTGCTCGGCTGTTTTTGTGTATCAGCGGAAGTTGGCAATGCAGGTGTAGGGTTGGAAAGCACTGAAGACAATTCATGCATCGCAAGCACTTGCGAGTGGTCACGCGGCTCCGTTGAATAGAAGCATCTGTGGTCGAATGCATTGTCGCTGCACCCTACCGCGATTCATCAGATGTGGCGAGGCTGCAGCAGCACGGCTAACAAGCAGTGAGGGCAGCACATGCTGCAACACGTTGAAATCTTTGTTCACATAGTCTTTGCCAAGCAGGATTACATCCTCGCAATCGACAATGTGACCTTGAGGATAAGACTTTCACACATTCTTCATTCTTGAAATGTGCCTCCTAAAAACAGACCCTAAACCCTTCGAGATAGACCGAGTGACCCACAAGGTGTTGAGACTGCCGACTCGCGAGGGCGCACGCAACCGGGGAGCTACGGTTGATGATATATAAATCCTGCATTACCCTAAGGACCCTAAACTATGGGAATTTTGGTATATTCCTTATTATGGGTAATGCAGGATTTATATCAACAACCGTACCACTGGGGTTTGGGGATTTCACAAGTGCTTCAGGTGTTAAGCTGCTTGGGCCTGCGGCGCTGGGGGTGTAGTAGCTGAGGGGTTTTACGGCTACGGGTGTGCACAGGTGCTGCCTAGATCCATGTCCCGGCCTGCATCTTGTTTCTGCAGCCAACGAAGCTGGCTTTCGCGGCAATTACCGTCATGTTCCCACCCACATTGATGCCTTAAAGAGGGTGGCAGGCCCGAACTGCTACACGGTGACTCTTGGGCAGGTTTTGCCTACTGACCAGCGGCTCTTAACCGAATACTGCCCAAGACGCAAGGCCCGTCCAACTCCTGCTTCCCCATGATCTGTATCTCACCCATCAAGACCAAGTTGCCTGCCCCCATCAATCTTCTTAAAACCACACGGCTGTGTGCTATGAGACATGGCGTCACTGTCTCACTTCTCAAGCAATGCTTCCCCAAGCTGCCTGAAGAAAGCCCAAGCCCACTCCCAGCATTCAGCCCATTGACAATTTCGCAGCTCTCAGGACATGTCCACGACTTAATTCTCAGTAGCCAGAAGCCCTCAACCCGGCCGGCGAAGGTCACCGGTGCCTTGAAAGGTCAGCGGCTCCTTGAGAGTCACCTCGCGCCAAACTCAGAGGGAGAAAGGATCCGGTAGCGGGTGGCCACTCGGCAAACTTGACGGCTTAAGCTTTGCAGCCTCGCATGGTCCAGAAATGGAGTTTGAGTCGAAAAATCGTGGTTGGGTTTTCCTGGCCTGCAGCCCGGGATGCCCGTGCCAAGTGCAGCTGCTGCTGAGGACTAGCGCCGTCTCAATGACCTTGACGCATCTTGGAGGCTACTTAGAGGATCATGGGACTTAGTAAGCAAGGCTATAAGTTCCTTAATTCAAGTTATAAGTAGTTATAAGTAGAGTTACCCTAATTATGACCCTAGTTACTAAGTCCCACGATCCTTTAAGGGTTATGATTAGGGAAACTCTACTTATAACTACTTATAACCACTTATCACCTTACTTACTAAGTCCCATGATCCTCTAAGTAGAGCATGCCAGGCTGCCAGGCTTGCTGTGTCAACTTCCAGAATTTCTACTCGTAAGTGCTCCTGCAACCCCTAAACCCCAAACCCCTAAACCCTAAGCCCCTAAACCCCTACACCCTAAACCCTAAACCCTAAATCCCCTACCTTCAGGAGCTAGAACGCTTTAAAGCAAGGACTCCGTCGGAGTTCTTTTAAAACAAGTCCTCGAATGCAGCCCAGGGACGTGGCTGCCGTTGCGCGGAAGTCCCTCGCAGTGAGGATAGTCGGCCTCGGACTCTTGAGGCCTGTCTCCCGGTACTTAGAGGATCATGGGACTTAGTAAGGGTTCCTTAAAAGGGCTCTTTAAAGGGATCTGTAGGGTTCATGGGGGTAGTCATGAATCGGGTATTAAGTAGGATAGCCATGGTTATAACCTACAATAAGAGGACTTACAACCCCACTTATAACTACCCATGAACCTCCAAGTAGAGTGAATGCGGTTGATGGTTTTTGGATTTGGGTTTTGGGTTCTGGGCCGCTACATGCCTGAAGAAGCGCGACTCTCCATTTATACTCCCCACATTCTTCTCATGAAGTATACACCTGCATGCAATTCAGATTGGTGTCTATTCCAGCTCCGGGCTGTTAAACCCTAAACCCTTAAACCCTAAACCCTAAACCCTAAACCCTAAACCCTAAGCACCAAACCACGAGCAGTGCGGCACAAGTGGCTGATTCTCCTTCCAGGAAAACAGCACCTGCCTTGACAAGAGCTTGGGACCGGAGGGCCTTAAGTTCTGTGCGATTTATATAGGGGCGTTAAGAATTAGAATAGGGTTTTGGGGCCCATTATACTATATAGTTAATAACAGGGAACTTCCAAAATAGTATTGGTAACGTTTCTCTAGGCTTTAGGGTTCTGACGCTTTTAACCGGATTTCAAGACTTCGTCATGGGGCTTGGGCGTCACGGGTCACATTGGTCGAATCCGAAAGTGCATATGCCCGGGCTTTAAGGCTTCTCCATGCTTCTGCCCTGAACTCCCAGCCGCCAACCCTGAAACGTCAAATCCCCAAACCCTGCACCCTACAAGCATTGAACCTCTGAACCCTGAACCCTAAATAGACCCTACTTGGAGGTTCATGGGTAGTTATAAGTAGGGTATTAAGTAGGAAAACCATAGTTATTGTTGATTATGAGGGGCATGTAGAATTGGTGATGGGGTGTTGTTCGGAACGATGGAGAAGTGAGAAGGTGTAGGAGATACTGGAGCCCGGAGCCTTTCACGAATTTGCCAAGGAACATCATCTAGATGATTGTAATGCATAACATACGACGACTCAGGGGCCTCCAGGCTTCCAAACCCAAACCAAAATTCCCTTTCCCAATCTCAAAACCACATCCCCCTGGGCAGTGCACTTTCAGCACTTCGAACTCTGTGCCCTTCATAGGTGCTTGAGCCAATTATGACATCCGTCACAAGCTCGTTCTGCAATTCACAACGATATGCACTTCGGCACATCCTGGCTCATGCGCAGGGGTCATGCTAATCTTCTCAAGTACTCAATCACACTCCTCCTCGCACCTTCGCTGCGACAGCAGAGGCAGGAGCGAACTTGCATGGGCCCCGAATACAAAAAGCATGAGCAACGCAAAAGACTCGTGATCTGAAGATCTTGTGCTGGACTATTCCTTCGGCACAACTCCAAATCAGAGAACAAAAGTTCAGGGCTTCCACTCTCCCAGTCCCAACAACTCACACGCCGCCTCCAACTTGCGAGTACTCAGGCTCTTCGTAAGAATGTCACCTTTTATCAAGTTGGTACCAGTGTGTTGCACCTTCACATCATCGCGTGAAATGACATCCCGAATCCAGCTAGTACGAACAGCGAAATGACGTGTGCGCATCACCAGTTCCGAAAATGTCTCGCGTGTGCTTAGGGTAATCGCTCCACTGTTGTCCCCATGCAACGTGGATGGTATCTTGCTGTCTAACATCTGTTCCAAAAGAAGGCTCACGTGCCAGCCTTTCTGCAGGCCGGTTGCCATGCCTTCCAACTCAGCTTCTGTCGCACTCCATGCAGTCAAAGCTTGACGACTCGAGACATATGCGATGATATGAGCATCGGGTCCTTCGCCCAATGAAATCACTGCTCCCGTTCGGGATCTGCTGCCGCCATTTGCATAACTTGCATCCGAGTGAATGTGCAAGCCTGGAACTTGTTCACTGAAAGGCTTATACTGCATACATCGGTTCACAGTGTACCTCAAAAACCTCCACAGTCCCTTGGCCAAGCGAAGTGTCTCTGAGGGATTGTTGACTACCATGCATGCCGCCATACCCACAACGGACAAAATGTCCGGCCTAGTTCTCAACCCTATCCACATCAATGATCCCAGCTCACTCTGCCCTTTCTTCAGGTTCTCATGGTACTTGTCATCTTTCTCCTCAGGGGCCAACGTCCCTTCCTGAGGTTCTGGCAAGCTTTTCGTTCCATTCATGTGAGCATAACCTCGCGTGGCCAATGCTTGCATGACCCACTTTCTTTGCGACACCTGAATTGTGCCATCATTTAGTCTCTGTAGCTGGCATCCCAAGTAGGTTAGCACTGATTTCACAGGAACTTCGATGTCACCCCAAGTTACGCTTTCAGCGGGCACATCTCTATGCTGCATCATGCCCTGGATCTTGATCTTCCACAGCGACGATACACCGTGGATCACTCTTCGAAGTGTCTCTGTATCACCAATAACAAACCCGTCATCTACATAGGTAGTCATGATTCCCAGCAGATTTCCAGACATGTCGACAATACGCCAGAGACCCTTGCATGCTGTCAAAGGTTGGAAACGGATATCACCATGTTTATCGCCACTCCCAGCATGAAGCACCAAGTCCGCAATTGCACTATCCCGGTGCGCCTCCCATGCCATGGGGGCCTGACGCAGACCGTATAGTGCACGCTGCAGAATCCACAGCGTGTTTTCGGATACGAGTCCCAGTGATACCAAGATGGGAGGAGGACGAACAACGATGGCCTTGTTGTCGCGAAGCATCGCATTTAAAAATGCGCAAGAAATGTCATAGATCAGCCCATTCCAGTCACTGTGATTTGCCAGCATGGAAAACATCAATCGCAGTCCCTCACATTGCACATTGCACGATGCATAATCTTCTTTTGTGTGGCCTGAGGTGTTCTCGAAATTTCCGCATCCAACAATGCGTACACGAGCTTTCCAAGAATCTATGGCACCCGAAGATGTGTTGGCGTCTTGATTCTTATCGTCGGCCATGACAACAGGTTTTTTCACATTCACCAGCTTGGCAGGAAGAATCTCCGGTAGTGGATCATGCGCTTGTAGACCCAAATCGGCCTTGAGGGTACTCCAAGAAGAGTTCTCCCATACATTCAGCTTCGCCATGTTGTCTAGCTCCTCCTGAGCGGCTGCGATCCACTTCCCAATCTCTTCCTGTGTGCCCGTCTTGAACACGTCATTTGTCATGGTTTGTCCTGATGCTTGGTCCAGGCCGTTCAAGATTGCATCCATCTCTTCCTTGAGTGCCCTTTCCTCCTCCTGAAAAGTGGCAATGTGGTACTTTCCCTCCTGTGGCCTCAGAGCTTTGCTACACATAGGAAACTCGAACGCAGTGTCCTTGGTAGTACATGTAGCCTTTGAAGCCGCTGCCACCCGGTAGAAGTCAAAGTCCTCCTGCGCGGGCCCGTGTTCTCGCTCCTCCAGAGTGATGATACCCAGGTCATGACCGATATCATGCACAAGCTCTGCATCTTTTGCCTCGCCAGTGTTTGAGATCCACACCAGATCACCCAGAGGCGTCACATGTGTTCTCCACCGTTTACAAGGAGTCGGAAGCTTTGTAGGTAGACGTGCTCGAACCACAGACTCGCGCCCATTTCTCATCGCCAAACATAATGTTCCACGGCTTGTCTTCTCATCTCTACACAAGAACGTTGCCTGCTCCACCTTCGGCGCGAATGGATCATCCGTGCGCCTGTCAATCACAACTTTAACTCCTGGGGAAGGCTGTCCCTTTGGAATTCGTCGATTCAAGACTTCGTCGCGTTGGGCAATCGATGCTTCTACCATCGCATACGGCCAGAAACTGGTGGGACACCCCGAGTCCAACAGATACTTCAGGGCTCTCTGCTTTAGATCTCGGATTGCACGCTCTGCTTTACCATTCTGCTCTGGATGATATGGAACGGTAACCGTCTTGAAGATGCTGATCTGCGCAAGTGCTCGAGCAAACTCCTCTGAAACTAGTTCCCGCCCGTTGTCCGAATGTAGACGCACTGTTGACGGCAATTCTCCCGCCATGGACGCAATTTGTGCAATGACATCCTTGGTAGCTTCCAGAACCTCTTCCTTCAGCCTCCTCCTGAGAGGTCTTGTGAAGTACAATGTTCCCTTATCCACCGTTGTCAGTGCACATACCAACATGTACTTGAAGCCGCTGAGTCCTCCTTGGTACGGTCCAGCAGTGTCTATACTCAAACATCCATGCGCAAGGTCATCTTTGCCAAGTCGTCGATGAGGTCTCAAAGTTCCCCGGGCCTCGTAATCTTGCAACGTGTGACCTGGAGGTTTCTTGTGCGCATACTCATACAGGTCGTCTTTGTGTTCAGACGTGGCCTCCTCAGGAAACTCAGAGGGCTCATACTGACAATCATCATCTTCAGCACCCTGCCATGTCTCGCTGCTTTCAGTCTTGTCTTTCGAAGAAGAATCCAGCATGTTCTCTAACCAGGAATCATCATCAGTATTGATGATATCACAGATCATGGCGCGTCCATCGTCACAGGACTCTTCATGCTCTAGACCCTGAAAACTTCCAGAAAAATCCATCCCCTCAACTGTTCCCTGACCATCACCTGAGTTTCCCTGAAAACCCTGATCGACAGACACGGACGGAGGGGAAAGAGAGGATTCGCTCTGCTCTGGAACTGAAGTTGCCTTTTGGCTCTGATGCTGCGGTGCCTCCTGTGAGTGCTGCTGCTTTGCTGATGTCACAGGAAAACCCATCTCCATGAGCATAGTCTGTTCCTCCTCTGACGCATTTGACATACCATGGGGTGTGTATGCAGTCAGAACAGTGCGAACACCTTCCCAGCTGCATGTACCATGCCACACAAAAGGCGAGAAAGTGAATGGTTTGCGACAAATGTCATGGGCTTCTCCGGCAACTTCCAGGCCTGGACGAACTTCTCGAACATCATTCCCATCCTTGCTCTGCACCCAAAGCTCTCCTCCTTTGCACTGCAGACTGCTGTTCAAGCAAACGATGGTGTTCTTGCTCCCTTTCTGATTCTGACTGTCTCGATGCGGCTTGAAGGTTACATTTCGTGCGAGCACGATCGTTGTGAACTGTACTCCAGGCGCTAACTTGTTCATCAACTTACACAATACCTTCGTGAGCATCGGCCTTTGCATACACATTCTGGAGAGACCCCTCTTCTGTCCGTGAGTCCACAGTCCAAGGGTCCACATAGGAATAATCCCTCCAGATGCGTCCTCACTATCAGCGTTGCTCCTCCTGTGTCGCTGCAGGGGCAAGTTGATCTTCTCAATGAGTCTGAGCACCGTACTGCATGTGATGTGACTGTCACCCTTGGCTAACAGTTCCGCTGCTTGCTGTTCTCCTGCCTGGGTCACCTCATCAATCACCATAGCCTTGGATTCTTCAGAGCACTCCGCCTCAATGCGAATCTGATCCATCGGGTTCGCGATCTGGATTTTCATGGCTTCTGACTGCTGGCCCTCACTCTGAGAATTCTCTTCTACTGTGGTTGCCCTGCATGTAGTTCTCACTGACTTCCACTTCTGGGTAATCAAGGGACGAAGCTGCTTATAGGTTTCCCATTCCAGGTATGGCAGTCCTGCAATCACTTCCAGTTCATACCATGTGGATCCAAGCTCCTTTGGAAATCGTAGCCATGCCCCATGCTCTTCCCAGAGGAAAGCACAGCCGATGCGGATCAACTTGCATATTCCACAAATTGTGGAACTGCTCTCAGGGCCTCCGCGGATGAGAATTTCCCCATCTCTGTTTCTCCATGCTTCAACCTCTTGTCCATCTGCAAGCTGCAGCGGAGTGCATGCTGCACGGGGAGGAATTTTGAATTGTCCTGATCTGACAACTTCGTTTGCACCACTGTCTAACAAAACACCTTCGGTCTTTGCAGCGGCTACTACTCCCTGACGTGCTTGTGATGGTTCGCTGTCCCTATGTTGCGGTCTTGAACGCCTCCGTGGTGGTCCTACAATGGAAGGAAACACAGGCACTGACTGAGGATACCCCATCTGACTTCCGGACGCTGCTGAGGACACCTGAGTCTGTATGGCAGTCGGGGCTGCTGATGACTCCTGAGTCTGTGTGGCGGTCGATGATGGTTGTTTGTGGAGTTTCCTGACTCCAAGGCCTGACAAGTGGCCTTGATGCCGAGGTCAGTGCCACCGCAAACACTTCATTCTCAGTCTCGAGATCAATAGCCCACCCCATGTATGCCGCACGCGCGGCTCCATCCGCGCATCTCACAAACACTCTTTCTAGCCGTATCAGCCTCTGTGTTGCAGAGATCTCGATGTCCTCTGTAGGAAGTTCACTCTCAAATTCCGAGGCTGCCAGCACGATACACTCTGCAATGCTATTGGGTGTTGTGATCCGTACGAAACTGCGACTGGCATGTGCACGCACCCAATTTGGAGACAGTTGCTGTCGCCACTGCAGATACTCCTCTGGGTTCAACCGCAGAAGCCAAAGATCATCCATTGGTGCATGATGCAAGCCTCCCGGCTCTGGCTCTTCAAGTGGTTCGTAACATTGTGCCATGAAAGCAAATGCCTTCACTGCTGATGCTTTTGCTTTGCCTTTTGGTTTGCCGTTGGGTTTACTGGCTGCGGCTGCCGCATTCCCACTGCTGGAATTTTCTGTTCCTACTAATGGTTCTCTGGGGGGTGCTGCTGCTGCCGCTGCCGATGCTTCCATCTCCTTTCGGAACTTCTCGTCATGACTGAAAGTGCAATGCTTGCGATAGCATCCAGCAGGGGTGAAGTAGAATCGACAAGGTTTGTTGCTGCGCTTTGTGGTATCATCAGGCTTCGTGTCCTTGCTCTTTCCTTTGCCATCCTTATCCTTTCCTTTTCCTTTTCCATTCTTGTCCTTTCCTTTTCCTTTGCCATCCTTGTCCTTTCCTTTTCCTTTACCCTTTGCTGCAATGCTTGCATCGGTTTGTCCAGCTTGACGATTGTACTTGATTGTCTCATCTGCACTTAGGATTTGTAGCTGCTGTTCAATCAGACGAATCATAGACTCCACTCCCTGAGCTGAAGGACGCAAGACATCCGGCTGAACCCTGAGTAAACCCATCAACGTCCTGAAGGCCTCAGACTTTCGCTCCAGGGTCTTGATGAGAGAGCTCAGTGCCTGAATTTCTTCAAACGGTGCCACAGCTGGAAGTTGTAGATCTCGTGCTCGGGTGCGTGCCAGTTTCCATCGCCTAAGTGTCTCCAAACCCTCTTTGGCGGTATGAGCTGGATCCAGATGCCTGACAAAAGCTTGAATACTCTTCATCTCCTGCTGTCCGCCTGGCATCTGTTCCTGCAAGACGCATTCTATCAGATGGATGCTGCGCAGCTGCTGTTGGCCAGTCTTCTCAAGGACAGGCTGTTTCAGTTCTGTCGGCAGGCATCGAATCAAAGTAAGCGTCAAGCGATTTTCATACTCCTGGCAATCTGAACTGATTTTCTCAAGCTCTTGGTCATCATAAAAACCCTCAAGGCGTCGTCGATGTCGCTTTTCTGCAAGTGTATACTGCTCATGGACAAAAGTGCCGAACCTGGGGCTAACTGTGGATGCCACCGTTTCCAGCTGTTTCCACCATGTCTGCAACCGCATGTTGCACTCCCAGGCCTCACCACCTCCTACTGTAAACGCAGGTACATCAAGAAGCAACTTCCAACGCCCATGAGGAACAGATTCATCTGCTACAGGTGGTGCGCGCATGAACTCTGGTGGAAGCCCTGGAGGTGCCGACCAACTCCAATTCCATGGATTCTCCGGATTTGCCTCCGTTTGTTCATTCCACTCTGTCCAAGCATTCTCATTTCCACCGCACCACCAGTCTTCTTCTGCCTGAGCAGGATCGGATTGACCCTGTTGATCTGGTGACATCTCATGTATCACCGGTCCACTTTCCTTACTTCCACACTCATGGATCTCCTCCCGGATTTGCTCCAGGCATGACTCGATCTGGCGGGTCCGCTGCTCACACGTTTGAGAGTCGACAACGGCCTTTTCAGCCACCTCTCCCACTCTCTCATGAAGCAAACGTAACTCGCTCTCCACATGACTGCTTAAAGCTTCTGTCCTCTGTAACGTTTCCACCATATGCGTCTGGATTCTCGAAACCAAATCAGTCTCTTGTCCAGATTCTTCAGCATCTTTAACTGCCTTTTCAAGCGATGTTTGCAGATGTGAAGATACAAGCTGTGCTCTCTGCATCTGGTCCTCAAGTGAATTCACACGTCTGTCCAGATGTTCAGCCAACTGTTCGAATTTGCCATGCAGCTGCTCAAACTTGGCTGCCGCAATCGCCTCAGCTTGTAATGTAGTTGTGCCCTCCAGCTGCTGTACCCGGGAACTGAGAGAGTCACTTATACTACTCTGCGCCTCCAACCTCTGCTGCACCATACGTATCTCTCCAACAGTTTGCTCTCGGAGTTGCTCCAAGCAAAGTTGCTGTTCTTGGATCATCCCTGCCATCTGATCAACACGACTCTCAAGGACTTTACATCCCTCTTGTAGCCGCTGTGTGCCGCCAGATACATCTTGCAACATGGACGCAAGTATGCTCGTACGATGTTGGATCCGAGCTGAAAGCTCCACCATCGCTGCCTTTACATCACTCAGCACATCCTGATCCAGTTGAATGGAGTCTTCGAGTTCACGTAGACTCTCCAATGGTAATGTGACTTGCGTGAGCGATCGAAAGGTCATGGTGTTGCTGTCAACTATCATCTGAGCTGCTTGTGACGCTGATGCTGCCGCAGGTGTCGTTGGTGCCTGTTGTTGTAGCTGCAGCTGCTGTTGTGCTGGTTGTAGCGGAGAGTTTGGGGGGTCGTTTGGGCTCATAACCTGTTGGTTATGAGGGGCATGTAGAATTGGTGATGGGGTGTTGTTCGGAACGATGGAGAAGTGAGAAGGTGTAGGAGATACTGGAGCCCGGAGCCTTTCACGAATTTGCCAAGGAACATCATCTAGATGATTGTAATGCATAACATACGACGACTCAGGGGCCTCCAGGCTTCCAAACCCAAACCAAAATTCCCTTTCCCAATCTCAAAACCACATCCCCCTGGGCAGTGCACTTTCAGCACTTCGAACTCTGTGCCCTTCATAGGTGCTTGAGCCAATTATGACATCCGTCACAAGCTCGTTCTGCAATTCACAACGATATGCACTTCGGCACATCCTGGCTCATGCGCAGGGGTCATGCTAATCTTCTCAAGTACTCAATCACAGTTATAACCTGTATTCGGGGACTTATAACCCCACTTACAGCCACCCATGAACCTCCAAGTAAACCCTACAGTACATTTGGGTGGTTGTCAAGATTAGGGTCCCTTTTTGGGGTCCCTATCATAATACGGCACCCAATATTTGGGGTACCCAAAAAGAGGACCATAATTCTGACAACCACCCCTGTAACCAAAAAGGACCTCAATTCGAGCCGGAGCCCAGGGACTCCAATATCCCTTAATGAAGGAATATTCCTTAAATCATACCAGGGGGTTTAGGGTTTAGGGTTTAGGGTTTAGGGTTTATGCAGGGATCCTGTTATAATTTAAGGCCTACTAGGGATATCGGAGTCTCTGGGAGAGAGAACTGAAGCGACGACCTCGAGAGGAGCTGCCTCGCGCATCCCAGGCTCGGGGTCCCGGGACATCGAAGCCTCTGTACTTAAAGGGAACTCCAGAAAGTTGGAATATCATTATCGTAGCCCCTTTAAGGTAAATTATAGGGGATCCTACCATTAATCCATATTCCAACTTCCTGGAGTTCCCTTTAGACCCAGACCCCCGGGAGGATCTAGAAAGTAGATCCCCTAATTTGGGGCCCTATACTACCGAGGGTACTTATAGGAACCCCCATTAAGAAATCTACTTTGTGGATTTTCCTAGTAAGTAGGTTATAACTAGGGTTAGAAGTACCCTAAATGGAGTTATTCCGCATTGGAACCCTACTTATAACCTACTTTCTAAGTCCCTTGGGCCTCTGAGTACCAGGTCATGGTTGGGATCGTATCAAAAATGTGCATCTTATTTTTTCTTGGGTTGAAGAACCCATGAAAAATGCAAAATCTTACCCAACTATGACACAGCGTAGTGGCTCAGGCTTCTAAAAACTTGTAGGGCTTCAGAGCTTTGGGCTTTGGGGTCTCAGCGTTTCGGCTTTAGGGCTCGGGGCTTCGGAGTCTTGGGGTAATTAAAGGACCACGGGACTTAGTAACTAGAGTTATGATTAGGGTAACTATACTTATAACCCCCAATTAAGGTACTTATAACTATAAGTAGTTGTAAGTAGAGTTACCCTCACTATAACCCTGGTTACTAAGTCCCATGATCCTTCAAGCAGGGTCGTGCGGAAGCTATAGCGAGAAGAGACCCCGCTCGGTCCGCAGATCGGAGCTCGATCAAGCAACAGCTTGTCAAACCTCCGGATCCCGAGACCCTCAAAGTTGTCGCGAAAGAGGCCTCTCCAACCGGGGGGACATCCGCAGGTGCTACCTGCAGAGCTGCTTTGAACTTTCGAGGTTGAGACTTTAGTTCAGAGATTCGATGTTTTCACGTTTGTGTGATCAGGGGAGAGAAATCACTTAGTCGATAAACGCAGAAAACCAAAGGTGCTCTTCCGTACGGCTTGGAAGACCCCTAAACCCTAAACGCTTAAAACCTCAAGCCCTAGACCCTAAATCTTAGAGAGCTGTTGAGTTCCCAGAATGTTGGGAGGATCTGGAAAGTAGATCCCCTAATTTGGGGTCCTATACTACTAAGGGTACTTTATAGGAACCCCCATTCAGGGATCTACTTTTTGGATCCTCCCAAAATTCTGGGTTTGGGGCCCATGATCTTCCACGGATGCCCTAGGGCCGGCCTCCGTTTCCAAGAGTTGCTGGACGTCCTCCCGGGCGGGGCGAACGGCACGCCCGGCGATCCAGAGACCTCGGGCTGGCTTTGGGCCAGAGGCTCCAAGATCCCTGAATTCAAGAATATTCCTTAAATTACATTAGGGATTCCATGATAATGTAAGGTATACTCCTTGATTCAGGGATATTGAAGTCTCTGGGAAGGTGCAGGCTACCCTTTCGGCTGTTTTGGGGTTTAAGGAAATACAGGTTCATATAAGGGTTTTCGGGTTTAGGGACACAGGGGTTCCGAAAGGGGTTTTAGGGTTTGGGGAAATAGGGAGTTCATGCAGGGGTTTTGGGGTTAGGGCTTAGGGTTTGGAGCCTTAGGGTTCTGGGTTCATCCGGATATTTTTTTGTGGGGATGGCTTGGAAATTCGAAAACCCTAAACCCTAAACCCTAAACCCTAAACCCTAAACCCTAAACCCTAAACCCTAAACCCCTACGCTCCTAAACTAAGAGAAGTCCGAGGCTCCCAGGAGGACCGCGGTGAAGGCCCCAGGGGCCATCCGGACACATGGAGTGCTTCCGCCGGTCTAAGCCGGGGAGCTTAAAGGAAAGTCAAACAACGGAGCCATGAGAGCTCTGGCTGTGAGCCAGGGCTGGGGAGCAGGGATCTTGCAAAGTGCGGATTCAGGGTTAGGGTTTAGGGTTAGGGTTTAGGGTTTAGGGTTTAGGGAGGGTTTTCCAAGGTCCTGCAAGGCTTTCAGACGGGCCCCCAAGCCTAAACCCTGGATCCGACTCCAAGTTCAAAGGAGCCCCCAAAAAAACGTCTGAACTCCCTGTACCTAACAGTGTTCGACCACCCCTTACCCTAAACGACGTAAATCCTGAAATACCCGAATCACTCATCTGCTGGAAGCTTCCGACAACACTCAACCTCCACAGGAGAGAAGCTCAATGTTAGCTCGACCCAAAAGCCGACAGCTAACATTACGCTTCCTCCGAAGGAGGGCTAAACCAAACTGACCGAAACAGTTCGTGTACCAAAGCTCCACAGATCGAATCTCGCAAGCTATGCTACCTATGTTGTTTACGTGCAGCATGGTGCCATCCTTTGTCATTCCACTGCATGGGCGGGCGGGCAAGACTGGCGTCCGGGAAGCTCACTTGCCGGACCGCCTGCTGCAGACCCAGACCCCCGGGAGGATCCAAAAAGTACATCCCTTAATGGGGGTTCCTATAAAGTACCCCTAGTAGTATAAGGCCTCAAATCTAGGGGATTTAGGGAGTCTACTTTTTAGATCCTCCCGGGGGTCTGGGAAGGGCAAGCTCCAACTCACATTTCAAGCCCCTCATCCGGAACTACGAGAGCACGCACGACAGGAACGGCAAGGCCTCGAGACAAGAGCAAAACCCTGAACCCGTCTCCCGAAGCTTAAAGCATGGCTGCCCTCGAAACCCTTCAATTCATCATATAATAATACTAACGATAATCATAATAGTACCAATAAATAATCATAATAATAGTAATGATAATCATATTGGTAATAACAATCACAACAATGGTAAAAAAAAAATCATCATAAGACTTAGTCCCAGGGATGTTCCGTTCCACTCTTCCAGTGATTCTGTGAGGGTATTTCCTAAACCCTAAACCCTAAACCACTAAACCCTAAACCACTAAACCCTAAACCCTGAAACCCTAAACCCTAAACCCCGGCCTCTCTCTGACCAGTTCTTGGATCACTCGCAAAGTCATGACTGCACCTGGGACCAGCGTCTCTGGAAGCCCCCGAAGTTCCCGCAGACTCCAAAATCCCTTAACTACGGAATGTACCTAGGGCTCCTTTTCGGGATCCTTTAAGGGTTCCGTTAAGGGATCTATAGGGTTTAGGGTTTAGGGGGCTCCAATAGCCCTTAACTAAGGAATACCTGTAGCCGGAAAGACCTACTGTACCTTTTTAGGGTTCCTTACCTTAAATTATAGTAGGATCCCGAATATGATTTAAGGTATATTCCTTAATCAAGGAATATTGGAGTCTCTAGGTTCTAGGGCCTAGGGATTACAGCCTCGCTGCCGACTGTGTTACTGCACAACTGGACGATGTCTGGAGGGCGCGTAGGCGCAGTAATCAAGACTTTAAAGAGGATTCTGGACATGGAAGATGGAATACGCACGAGTAAGAAGCGAATCCCGATGGTGGCTTGGGGCAGTTTTGGCTTCTCTTAAGGGATCCAGCAGAACCACACGTGACTCATAAGGACCCTTAGGGGGGTAAGGGGAGGGTGGTAGGGGTCCCTGTGAGTGACTGGTGTTGAGCAGGTTCTTCGCGGCTTGGGTAACGAGAAAACCAGAGGAGGCTGCCAGCGTCATGCTTAGAGGCCCAGGGAACTTACGGTTGATGATATGAATCCTGCATTACCTTAAGGACCCTGAACTATGGGAGTTATAGTATAATCCTTCTTATGGGTAATGCAGGATTGATATCATCAACCGTAGTAGGTAGGTTACAAGTATTGTTATAAGTACCCTAAGTGGATTTGCCTCGATTGGAACCCTACTTATAACCTACTTACTAAGTGCCTTGGGCCTCTAAGTGGCATCACCCTCTGCTGCCTTGGTTTTTGCTTCTCTGGCCGCTGTTCGTAGTCCCTTGGCGGTTGCAGTTGCGGTCACTGCGGTCCTTGTTGTGATTGTTGTTGCCATTGGTCTTGTCGTTGCTGATCTCAGTGGCTATTCGTCTTAGAAGAAGTCTGCATGATGTTACCCTGGCTTTTGCGATTACTGTTCATGTATTGCTGCTATTGGAACTATTGTCATTACTGTCATTGCAATACAAAGTTTAGCTGCACCAGGTTTAGAAACCTCGTCCGTACTGGACAAGGTCACTGCTGCATTTAGCCAGCAAAAGTGGGATGGAGAAGGGTTCGAAAGCAGCTCCAAGCTTAGCAAGGCCGGCGATGACTTAAGCGAGGCGGCTCGCCAGCGCTGCGATCACCGCAGTTGTGATGATGATCATTTGCTGAGTGCGCACGGAATGCCCCCAATGAAGCTCGTTTGCGAGCCTCGGGTATCTGTGTCTGCGAAGTGGAGGTGTAGGATGCTCTTGGGCGTGGCACGTTTGCATGCACTCACAAATACAGCATGCTCAGCACCTCACGATGCAGTTTAACATGGTACAATTTGTCGAAATGTCCATGCCGATGCGTATGGTGCTTACATGTGTACGTAGCATGCAAGACTGTACGTATACATGCATGTATGTATGTATGTCGTATCCACGTATGTATGTAGGTAGGTAGGTAGGTATGTGCGTGTGAATGGCATGTGCAAACCTACATATGTATGCATGGATGTATGAAAACTTGGCCACAGACATTGAGGATCCGCTTGCCTGCCTTCGAATACTACGCGTAGACCATACATCAAGCCCTTAAACATCTGAAAGATTCAGCAACGAAGAAAACCAAGTAAATATTCCCGAAGCCAGCAGACTGCATGAACCTCAAGACCTAACCAAGAAAGGTTTACCTGCATAACTGCCTGAACCCTAACCCAATGCCTGAGTGTTCAAGAAACAAACTCTACGTATAACTGCCCCAGACTTGTTTTCACTGATGCTAGGGCATACAAAACCGTCAGAGATGCAAGACCCTCAATCCGCAAAAACCCGAGGAAGCCTAAGGCCCTTTAACCCCGCAGGCGTGCTGAAGGGCTCAAGGGACTTAGTAAATGGTGTTATGATTGGAGCTATAAGTGCGTAGTGCTATCCTACTCATAACCTTACTTATAAGGTCACACATAGCCCTGAAGCTGTGAATCAAGAAACTTCGAATAACCACTTACGGGGCTACGGGTGGGGTTCCGAAAGCTCAAGGACAGGGGGTAAGGGTTTTGGGTTTCGGGCTGAAGGTAGTACACGACTTGCTCAAAGTTCTCAACTCCGAACCACGTGGTTGCTAGCGGTTGGTAGCGAGTGGCAGGCTGGATGCGATGATGATCATGAACATCGCCGCAGAAAGTAGGCTGATTTCGATCCTGCAGGTTTAAGTAACCCTACACCCTAAACCCTCAAACCGCGGTTTAAGGTTTGGGTGACGTCGGGCTCGGGTTGCTCTTGGTGCCGTGGTCGTCTCGGATCGGGGCATTCAATCAAAACCTCGAGACGACGCCGCCACACACTCCGGAATCCTGTTAGCAACCCGAACAGGTTCCAAACAACGAAACTCCAAGGGTAAAAGGAGGGACCCTTAATAGGGACCCCTTGTTATATACCCTTAATATAGCTATTATATACGCTTTTATAGCCCAGTATAGGGTATGGGGTCCCCATTAAGGGTCCCTCCTTTTCCCCTTTGAGAAGCAGAAGCACTGCGACCCGGCGCTCCAGTTCCAGGCGGATGTGTGGTAGGGATGGCAGCGGCAGTAAAGCAACAGCGATGACAAGACCACAATGCCTGAGGCAGTCATGGAAGAGGAATCATGACAAATAATGTCCCATTGCAGTGCCTGTAGGGCTATATGATGCAATCAACCCGGTTCTAATGCCCCCACATATATCAGGGCTTCCTTTGCTAGGGAGCTGACAATGGCTCAAGTCTGAAACTCTTTGGTCATGCTTCCCCGAACTGTCGGGACATCTAGAGCCCAAATGAGGGCAACCAACAAGGTTTCAGCTGAGCTTCGGGGATGAATGGAGGACTGGAGTTAAGTTTTTCAGGTTTAGAGTTTAGGATTTGGGGGAACCCACCGTAGACGTCTCAACCCAAGACATAAATCCAACTTTTGGGGTCATGTCTGAGTCCACACCCTGACTTCCGGCCGTACATACCCTGTAAGGTATATCCTCTAGCACCAGCATAAAAGTGTACAATTTTATGTGAAACCTCGAGAAGACCGCCGTGACATACAGCCCTTGTCTTATCGGTCGACAACCCTTATCGCACCCTTGCAGCATCCTCTCCTGATGGAACCCTCAAAAAACCCTAATAGTAGAACCCCTCATGTGAAAGTCGTCTTGTAGACCCTCGCAGAATCCTTACAGCATCCCCCTAGAAGCTTTAAGCCTTAACCTAAGAACATGTGCAAAAACTCTGCAGACCCGTCCCGCCTAGGCATCCCAGCTGCAAGGCTGGCGAGGTGGCAATGGGCAAGAGAGCGTCGATGAAGGTGAACAGCGTCTTCCTCCCCAGAGACTCCAATATCCCTTAATTAAGAAATATACCTGAAATTACAGCAGGGGTTCCTACTATGATTTAAGGCATATTCTTTGATTAAGGGATATTGGAGTCTCTGGGTCCATGAAGGTGAACAGCGTCTTCCTCCGCCCTCGCGGACGAGATTTTCGATTTGGTCTGTCTGGTGCGGGGGTCTGGGGAAGGGTGGCGTTCAGTATTGGTAATTATATCCCCTATAGACCCCTTTAAAGGAACCCTAACAAGGAACCCCCAAAATAGTATGGCTACTTTTTTAGGCCGCGATAGCATGTCTGGGCCGTGCTCATGGGGACTAGGCCCCGGGGGTCTCGGGCACACAAACGCCAACAGAGGCTTGAATAGCACGAAGAATAACAATCTCCCTGTGCTGGGGTTTGGATTTAGGGTGGGGTTTAGGGTTTAAGGTTTAGGGTTTAGGGTTTTGGGTTTAAGGTGGGGTTTAGGGTTTAAGGTTTAGGGTTGTTGGGTTTTGGGTTCAGGGGCCCGCCTTTGTCGCCCTAACCCAAGACCGAAACCCCGTAATCCCTCGGAGCCACGCGGATCCTGATCAAGCGCTCCGTCTCAAAGAGGGCAAACTCCGGACGGTACTTGCTGGTCAGGAAGACCACGTGGCTGGGCAGTGGATCCTCCAAAGCAACTTGGGTGTGTAAATCCTTAACCCCAAGACCCCAAAGCCCTAAACCGAGAAGATCTCCTTGGCTTGGGCTTCTAGGAAGTTCCGAAGTTTTCACTTGGAAGGTTTGGGAGAACGTCTGCTATGGCTCACGAGCGTAATGCTTCACGAGGCTTGCACCCCACGCTCCGAAGCAGAAGAGAGCCAGAGAGCCCAATACCCCTTAATTAAGGAATATAGCTTAAATCATAATATGAAGTCCCATATAATTTAGGCCATATTCATTAATTAAGGGGTATTGGGCTCTCTGGGGAGCTGTCCCTTTCTCCCTTGAAAAGCCCAGCCCTATTGAGGGTTCGGGGCTCGGCTGGGAGGCCCTGAAGGCTCTTGAGACCCCTGATAATGTGTTTGAGGTTTAGGGTTTAGGGGTTTAAGGTTTACGGTTTAGAGGGTTTAGAGGGTTTAGAGGGTTTAGAGGGTTTAGAGGGTTTAGGGTTTAGAAGGTTTAGGGTTTAGGATCCCCTCCCCCCTCTGCAGTGCCGCCGACCTCGCTTGATCGGGAGAGGCTGAGCCTCGGGAGGCGAGCGGAGTTATGCATCAGTGTTACCATCATTGTTATTATTATTATCATTATTACTATTCTTATTTTCTTATCAGAATTATCCCTTGTCTCTCCGAGAGTTGAAGGCCAAAGGCCAAGAAGCCACGTGCAAAGAGCAGCGGCCATGAACACGATGAGGCCCCCGACCACCTTCATCGAAGGTGGATTCAAGAAATGGCTTTGAGCTTGAGATTTCTGGGAAGCGGACATGCGGTGTTCTGGATTCTAGATCAAAGCCAACTTCTGCCCGAAGGAGCGGAACAAGAATGCAACGCCTTCTGAAGTTCTGGGTGCTTGCATGCACAACATCTTCTGTGGCCTACCTCCTGCGATTCGCAAGGAAAACCCCTGCCCTGATGGCTATCCCTTCTGGAGTGAATTCGTGTCCTGTCTAGGCTGCAGCGAGAACCAAATTGCCCTTGCAAGCCTGGACTGTTGAACGCACGGGGTTAACCTGAATCCGTCAAGGGTTCGGACCTTTGCATGCTTGCTCCTTTAAGGTATAGGGCCTCGGGTTGGCGGGGCAGGATAGGGGACGACGCCTGAGCTTCGGAGCTAGCTACAGTACACCTGTCTTGCGAAGCTACAAGTATCTTGGAAGACATGCGCAGCCCCTTTTCGGCACTGAACCAGTGTTCTCCGCTTCTCAACAACCCGACAGCACTTGGAGGATCATGGGACTTAGTACGTAAGGTTATAAGGACCTTAGTTGGGTTATAAGTAGTTATAAGTAGAGTTACCCTAATTATAACCCGAGTTACTAAGTCCCATGATCCTTTAAGCAGAGCCACCTGCATCACTGCGGGAAGGCCGGGGAAAGCTCCTGGAAGGAAAGGGCAGCGAAGGCCCCCGAGCTCAGAAACGTCGTCCGGCTGCAGGCGGTAACCTGCAACTTTGGCTTCGGCGCTCGACCCTGAACGCATCCTCACAAACCGGAGGTCTACAGTCGAAGTTCTGGAGATTTCTGGAGACCCAGTACGGGGTCGAGGGCTTAGTGCTTGCAGGGTGTGGGGTCTACTTGGAGGTTCATGGGTAGTTATAGGTGGGGTTATATCCCCTACTATAGGTTATAGCCATAGTTTTCCTACTTATAACCCTACTTTTAACTGCCCATGAACCTCCAAGTAGGGAGGATTCGGGGAGAGGAGCTGTCTAGTGGCAAGTCGGCCCTAGGCCCAACAGCGCTGGGCGCCCGGGCACACCAAATACTTGCCGAAGTCGGCAGCGATGGTGGGCATGAAGCAATTCAAGCCTGTCATGGAGCGGAGGTTTGCGTCTCACGGCTGATCGAGGATCATTTCAGTTGTAGCTTAGTTAGTCTCGAACTTGGTGATGCGGCTCGTCCTACGTCTCCCAAGTCTCTTGAAGATGGCTACATCCTACATTGTCGTCGGACGAACCCCCTTGGAGATTGACAAAGAAACGGACGTCTGACCTGCGATCAGCGCGGCACGGAAATCCTTCACCAATGACAGTAGAGCAATGAGCACGGCTGCGACAACCTGGCATTGGGAGCCATCGTTTAGGGAGTTTAGGGTTTAGGGGTTTAGGGTTTAGGGGTTTAGGGTTGAGGGTTTAGGGTTTGGGGTTTAGGTGGTGCCTTTCACGCTGCCCTTGCTCACAAACCCCCAAGCTCTCCGATCCCCTGAACGCTTGGAAGATCTGGGGACCCCACATAGTAACATAGTAGGAGCATCATTGGGGTAAATCCAATTAAGCTATACTAATATACTACTATACGAAAATACTGATTACACTACTATGCTAATATAATCATATACTACTCTACTACTATACGAATATCCTAAACCCCTAAAACCTAAACCCAGATAAGTTCAGTTACACATGAGCAGATCAAGCTCGCCTGATCCTTCATGAAGATCCCAAACACAAATCAGAGTTCACTCTACTGCGGCAGCATGAGATGCTTGCTGCATGAAGAGAGGGTTTGATTCAACATGGTACATCAACTCCTTCGTTAAGTTCAGTGATTTGGGCTTGCAAGGTTTTCGGGTTTAGAGGCTTGTGATTCAACGGTTTACAGCTGAAGGGGTTTAGGATGGAAGGGTTTAAGGTTGGGGGCAGCCCAATCATTCAAACCTCTCTGAACCTGAGCGCAGCTGAGCTACGACGTCCAGCAGATGCGAACCCCACCTGAGTTGCAGCTCGTGAATACAAGCATGATTAAGTCTGGCAGTTCCGATTGAAGGTCAGGGACTTTTTGGCCTAAGTTGACTTTTGACGTTTTACGTATGCCCCACCCCACCACTATGCTTCCGCAGATAACCGTAACTTCAAAACCTCCACAAACTGTAGATCCTGAACCCCGAAACCCCAAACCACATTTCCGAAGCCCTCAACCCTAAACTTGAAACCCTCACCCCTCAACTCTAAACCCTCAACCTACTCTAAACCAACAACCTTATATCCAAAACCCTACAACAACCTACATAAACCCTACATCGAAAGAAGACATAGCGGCCGGGTCACAGGGTCTTCTCGCATCCAATGTAGGACAGGAGGCACTGAGAGGAGGCGCTGGGCAGGGAGCCTGCGGCCAAAAGCAGCGAGAACTTTGGGATTAGGGTTACGGGCTGGTGCCTTTTTGCACCTGTAGTTCAGGACAGTGGAGAACCCTAAACCCTAAGCCCTACACCCTAAACCTTAACCGTGAGACTACCAGAATGACCGCAACAGACGGTCGGCGGCGGAGGTTTTGAGGAAGGTGCAAAGCTCCGACGGCCGAGGCCTCAACCTGTGCTTGGAGGATCATGGGACTTAGTAATTAAGGTTATAAGTACCTTAATGGGGGGTTATAAGCAATTTTAATTAGAGTTACTCTAATTATAACCCTAGATACTAAGTCCCATGATCCTTTAAGTAGTAGTAGTAGTAGTAGTAGTAGTAGTAGTAGTAGTAGTAGTAGTAGTAGTAGTAGTAGTAGTAGTAGTAGTAGTAGTAGTAGTGGTAGTAGTAGTAGTAGTAGTAGTAGTAGTAGTAGTTTTTTGCACCCTGAACCTTGCTTGCAAAGCTCCAAACCCTAAACCCTGAAACCCCAGACCCGACACATCAAACCCGGAGCCTTTTTGAAACAAGCAAGGCTTTCGGTACTTTCAGCTCTCGAAGAACTACGGCAAAAGCACGAAAGTGCAGATACGCACAGGCAAACGGAGCGAGCCCTACCACAAAATGCTTCGTGAGCATGAGATCTTCTAGTGCCAACGGCGATTCCTTCGAAAAGCTGTTTATTTATTGAAAGGGCACCTACGGCCACAGGCCGGGCTGCTGCGATGACCATCAGATGCAAGTTGGTTCACAAGTCTCTTGGATTGGAGTGCACACAACGTTGCTCCCCCTTGGCCCGCTATGCTAGTGACTGCCCACGACCCCTCGAGTAGCGGAGGAAAACTCCTGCCCCAGCACTCTGGACACAACAGGTAATGCAGGGGCCTGAACAATTATAACACGCTTTGGAGGTATACTACACTAGAACTACAATAAGGAATCCCAAAACCCGGTCCTGATTAGTCAGGCCGCCATCTGAATTCCTTACAATAGCCCTTATGGCCCTTATAGACCCCTTTTATGGAACCCTATGCTGATTATTAAGGCTCCTACATCATGTCCTTGTCCGGAAGCCGTCTGGGTGGCCGTGGCAGTGGCCGCAAAGAGGAGCTCCACCTTACTTGCTTGAGCTCGAAGATGCCATGCTGAGGGCTCAAGGAAGGCTCCAGGTTTAGGGTTTAGGGTTTGGGGTTTTCGGTTTAGGGTTTAGGATTTACGATTTAGGGTTTAGGATTTAGGGTTTAGGGTTTAGGGGGCTCAAGGAAGGCTCCAAATTGCACTCCCAGAGCCCCGAACCCGAAAAAACCCTAAATCCCGAAAGCCCGAAAAACCCTATGGCACAAACCCCTAAAACCCTAACCCTAAATCAACTGAAGCCCTAAACCCCTGAAAAAGCCTGAAATCGCTAAAGCCCCCAAAAAACGCATTCCGGGCGGCTGCTTCGTCTTTGATGTCTTTCGCCGTCTGGGTCTGCAAAACCGCAGCCAAGATCCTCGAAGACTCGGCGGTCCCCTTTAACTTACAGGCGTTTAGGGGTTTTGGATTTAAGGGTTCAAGGGTTCAAGGGTTTAGGGTATAGGGGTTTAGGATTTAAGGGTTCAAGGGTTCAAGGGTTTAGGGTTTAGGGAATTGGGGGTTTAGGGTTTAGGGTACACGGTTTAGGATTGGGGTACCCAGAGACTTCAATATCCCTTAATTAAGCTATAGTAGGATCCCTAATAGCATTCAAGGTATCTTCCTTAATTAAGGGATATTGGAGTCTGAGTACAGGGTTTAGGGTGTGCGAGTCTCGGGTTTAGGATTTCATTTTAAAAGCAGTGGATTTAGGGCTTAGTGTATTTTTCCGACAAGGAACCTAAAACACTAAAGAGGTTAGGGCTTGAGGGCTTTTAGGTTTTGGGCACTAGCGTCAGGGTCTAGGGCTTCAGGGTCTTAGGGCTTTACGATTTAGGGGTTTTGGGGGTTTAGACTACCCTAAACCCTAAATCCCAAACCCTAAACCCTAAACCCTAAGCCCTAAACCCTACCGAAAGCCATCAGGCCCCATGAGATGCCATGCCAGCGGCGTGTTGGAGATGGTGGCAAAAGCCTAGTTCATTGTTGAGATAGGATTAAAAATGTACATTTCTATTCCTTATTGGGTTTAAATACCCATAAAAATGTAAAATGTTACCCAACCCTATAGATCCCTTTTAAGGAGCCCTATAGATCCCTTCAACAGAGCCCTAAAGATTCCTTAAAATGTTACCCAACAATGGCAAAGAAGCCATCAGCTGGTTCAAGTAGATGCTGCTGTGCTTCAGGTCGCCAGCCTGGGCTCCCCCAGAAGTGCGGTTTTTTAGGGTTTAGGGGTTTAGGGGTTTAGGGGTTTAGGGTTTAGGGTTTAGGGTTTAGGGGTTTAGGGGTTTAGGGGTTTAGGGGTTTAGGGGTTTAGGGTTTAGGGTTTAGGGTTTAGGGGTTTAGGGGTTTAGGCGTTTAGGGGTTTAGGGGTTTAGGGGTTTAGGGGTTTAGGGGTTTAGGGCGTTAGGGGTTTAGGGGTTTAGGGGTTTAGGGTTTAGGGTTTAGGGTTTAGGGTTTAGGGGTTTTGGGGGTTTAGGGGTTTAGGGGTTTAGGGGTTTAGGGTTTAGGGTTTGTCGATGCTCCGCGCACACCACCTCGCGAGACGTGTGTTGTGGTGTGCGCCTAGGTTCAACGCTCCCGCCCTACCCGCCCACCCAGTCTATGACCCTTTGTCGGGTTTAGGGTTTTTTTCAAGGTTTGTGGCTTGGTCTGGCGGTGGCCCAAAATCAGGGCAAAGCAGGGCAGAGGCAGGCGCCAGGGCAGGACAGGGCGGAGAGGGCAGCAGGGCAGCAGGGCAGGGGAGGGCAGGGCAGGCGGGCCAGGCCAGGGAGTGGGGCAGGACTAGGGAGGGTCAGGCCCGGGCCAGGCAGGAGGGTCCAAGACGGGCCAGGCAGGGGCCAAGGACCAGGACCAGGGCCAGGGCAGGGAGAGGGACACCAACCTCTGAGGTTGTACAGTTCTGATTGGCTAGCATGCCTGTCGCATGCGCCAGCACCTGAGCCGGTGCTGGGGCTCCTCCGCTGCGCCTGTCGCGCCAGCTCCGGAGCCAGCCTCACTGACGCTTCGGCACGCTCGCTGCTGCTATTCGCAGCGCCCGCAGCTCGCTTCAGTTTAGGGGTTCAGGGGTTTAGGGGTTTAGGGGTTTAGGGTTTAGGGTTTAGGGTTTAGGGGTTTAGGGGTTTAGGGGTTTAGGCTTAGGGGTTTAGGGGTTTAGGGGTTTAGGGGTTTAGGGTTTAGGGTTTAGGGGTTTAGGGGTTTAGGGGTTTAGGGGTTTACGGGTTTAGGGTTTAGGGTTTAGGGGTTTTGGGGGTTTAGGGGTTTAGGGGTTTAGGGGTTTAGGGGTTTAGGGGTTTAGGGTTTAGGGTTTAGGGGTTTAGGGGTTTAGGGGTTTAGGGTTTAGGGTTTAGGTCCCTTGAAGGGATCCAAGGGTTTAGGGGTTTAGGGTTTAGGGTTTAGGTCCTTTAAAGGGATCCAAGAGTTTAGGGGTTTAGGGTTTAGGGTCTAGAAAGTAGATCCAATTTGGGGCCCTATACTACTCAGGGTACTTGATAGGAACCCCGATTAGAGGGATCTATTTTTTGGATCCTCCCGGGGTCTGGGCTCTCGGTATTTGGTCGAAAGCTTTTTAATGAATCCTAGACGTTTAGAGGCTTGAGGCTTTAATGTGTATGGTTTCAGGTGTACCCTAAACCCTAAACCCTGGAACCCTAAAGCCTTAAACCCTGAAGCCCTACCACAGCCTTAAAGCCAAGCATCTTTCTTCGCTCCAAGGGCGCTCATGGCCGCAAGTCCAAAGAGGACCGAGCGCTGCGACAGGAACACGAGCCACTGCAGCACCTGTGCTGAGGTGGCTTCTGAGAATGAGGAGGTTCTCTTTCACCGAATACAAGTCATATGCAAAATCGTAGTCGTAGTAGGATTAGTAGACATAATAGCAGTAGTGTTTGCATCACTGCCAGTATTCGTACTCGCAGTATAGTACTAAGACAAGACAATCTGCCTGAAGCCTGCAATACGCGAAACTACTGAGGAAAGATCCTTGCTGGGAAAGATCCTTGCTGCACACAGTGAGACCAATCCACCTGCTGGCCAAGACCTTCTCCACAGGCCGTGCCTGGGGGTTGAGGCTTTTATGGATCGAGGGTCTTTGGCTCAGGTTGTTAGGACTTAAGGTCAAGGCTGCAGCTTCTGAATATGAAACGCCACCCCACAAGGTAGACCCTAAACTCGAAACCCCTAAACCTTAAACCCCAAACCCTAAACCCCTAAACCTTAAACCCTCAACCCTCCTAAACCCTATACGAAGGATGCACCCCCTCGGATCATCTCGTTCTGGATGTCGGGTCAGGGGCTTTGACCCGGGAGAATTTGGGAGCTGTCATCGGCTGCAGGTGGATTGCTGGCGAAACTCACCAGGACCCTCTAAAGGGCCCTTAAATGAGTCCTAATGGCCCTTAATAGTGGGTGTTTGGTGTATACTCGACGGTAATTGGGGGGTCTAAGCAGGCAACAAGAGTGCAGAACCGACCTAAACACCCTGCGATGTGAGGCAGCAGATGCACAAGATGCAGGTGGAGGAAACGATACAGCAACAATCAACTTCGTAGAGACACAAATGTTCAAAGGTTCATATCGTCTAAAAAAGTATAGACTTTTCTTTCATAATGGTTCCTTTAAGGAACAAGTATCCAAAAAAAGTATTCAAGTATGGTATTCCAAACCCAGGTAGCCTATTTGACATACTGATGGAGAAACGGCCTCTCTTTGCGGGGTGCTAATCTTGGGATCCCGATTCTCATTGACGAAGGGGTTTACCTATCCGGAGCCAAAGTCTTCTTGTCTTCTGAGAGTAAGGCTCCAAAAGCGAGAGCAAAAGCTTTCAACACATTTACGTAAACTAGAGTACATTATGGTACAATACAGTATATTCTTATGGTATTTTAAAGCCCTGAGTATAATATATCAAAGATGACCTTGCAGGGAAACCACCGCTCGGGCAAGACGCACGCAAGCACACTGCTGTCCGCCATGGCGTACCCGTCGCTGCAGTGGGCGCAGCCCTGGCCCCCGTAGCCTTGGAAAGCTTCTAAACTATTCGGGCGGGGGTTCCTTATGACAAGTTTAGTGTAATGGGCCCCAAAACCCTCTTCGAATTATTGAGGCCCCTAGACAAATTTTGGTCAACTGCAATTCGGGGCTTCCTAGAAGGACCTAAACTCTGAACATCTCTGCGCGCTGAACTGTAGAAGTTTGAGGGAATACCATCCGTGTGGGTGGTTGTCAAAATTATGGTCCTTTTTGGGATACCCTAAATATTAGGTGCCGTATTATAATAGGGACCCAAAAAGGGACCCTAATTTTGACAACCACCCAATGTGCTACTTGGTGTCACTTCACAGCACCTCTGGCACACAGCGAGTAGACCGAGCCAACCTCAACAGTGAAAGCAAACAATAGTGGAGCCTCCGCCACAAACAAAACCGAAGTAACTGAAGCTGCATGTGAACCTGCAGCCATTGAAACCCGAAAGGCAAAACCGCAAAGCAAGTAAGCAATAGTAATGAACCAAAGCGAAGACCGAAACCCTATGAAACCGTGAAACCCCCGAACCCTAAACCCAAATCCCTAAACCACTAAAACCCTATAAAACCCCTTGCAGCTTGAGCGGCCGTCTTTGCACATGGCAACTTTGGCGCCTCCGTTGGAAAGCTCGCCTCCAGTGCAAGATGCCTCGGGGAATGCACTATAAGAATAGTAATACCAAAAAACTTATTATTAATAGCAATACCACAATAATATTATAATAGTAATACCAAAAATATGATTAGTAGTACTGCCGTAATAATGCTATAATGGTAAATGGAGGCGGCGTGGTGGGCTCTCGCAGGTTTTTTCAGTTGCGCTGGGTACATTTGGGCTTAGGGTTTAGGGCTTTGGGCGTTAAGGGTTTAGGGTTTAGGGTACAGAGTTGAGGGTACAGGGTACAGGCCAAGAAGCCAAGTGAGAAAGGAAGCTCTGTCCCCCACCGACAGAATGCAAGAAAATACGGCCAGTACGCCCCATCAGAAGAAAGACAGCCCTTCGCCTCTTGATATAAAGGCCTTAATATTTCCAGTAAGGTTTGGGGGCCTCGTCTACTATAACTACAATAAGGAAACCCCCAACAGTAGTATTGGTAATTATTAAAGCCCCTACTTGGAGATTCATGGGTAGTTGTAAGTAGGAAAACTATGGTTATAACCTAAATTAGGGGACTTATAACCCCACTTATAACTACCCATGAACCAGACCCTAAACCCTATACCCCATAGATCCCTTTCAGGAACCCTATAGATCCCTTTAAAGAGCCCTTATCCAGCATCTCTCCCGGCCTCGTTCGGACAATGGAGGCTGCGGCTTACGTTTTCCAGTTCCACCATGAGCCCAGGCCTTCGGGTGTTGAGATGCTGAAAACCCGGGAGGCTTCTTAGGGTTTAGGGTTTAGGGTTTAGGGTTTAGGGTTCCTGGTTATAGAAAGTGTTTAGGGTTCGGTTAAGGAGTTTTGCACGGGTTTTGACCGGGTTTTAGCCGGATGTTGAGTTTAGGGTTTAGGGATTTCGCCTTTTGCTTTCCCTTCAGAACTGTTTTGCCTTTTGCTGGCTGGGCTGGGCCTGGTCTGGGCTGGGCTGGGCCGGCTGAGGCTGGGTTATTGCGGCTGCTAAACAACTTCGATTTATCCTGGGCTTGAGGGTTTAGGGTTTAGGATTTATTGTGTAGGGTTTAGGGGTTCAGGGCTTAGGGATTCGTAGAGCCAAGCTTCCGGAGTTAATTCGGGGCTTGTGAGTTGTTCCAGCATGTCTTTAGCAGGACCTTCCTGCTTGAACCTCTGGCAAGGAAGGTGTCGGACTCGAAATTGCTTGAATCCAAGGGTGAAAGGAGGGACCCTTAATAAGGACCCCTAGGTATATACCCTTAATATAGCTATTATATACCAATTATATAGCCCATTAGAGGGTAGGGGTCGCCATTAAGGGTCCCTCCTTTTCCCCTTTCATTGAAGTTGGGATTGTGGAGGGCGCAGGTCGGGCTGGGGCTTGGCCATAATCACGATCATAAGACTACCACGAGCACAACATCAATATCAACAACGGCCATAGTGCCAACACAGGCAGATTAATGATGGACGTGCTTGATGTTACAAGTGATACAAATCATATCATGCGCGAGATCCGGCACCACAAATTCGGTTCCAGAATGATTCGAACAGGGCTTTGAGGAATCCAAAGGAACAGCATTTATAAGTAATAATCCCGGCGTCGACATTAGACCCCAAGCCCAACAAGACGGAGCACTCCATCTTCAGTGCGCCAGCCAAGCACTTGCGAGCCCCATCTGGACAAGGGCTGCAAGACCTGGCCAGAGAGATGCTGTTTTGGATTTAGGGCCGCTGACATTTAAATTTAGGGTTTGGGGTTTGGAGTATAAGGTTTAGGTTACTTTGGTAGGATAGGGTGTCTATGGCTTTGGGTTTCGGGTTCAAGACGAGGAGGTGCTCGAGGTGGGTTTTGGGTTTTGGGTGCAGGGTTTAAGTTGGAAGGGGCCCCTTTTATTATAAGGCTTATATTAGGGCCCTACTATATTCCTATTATACCACTAGTACAGGGTGGGGGCCCCTTCCAAGGTTTCGGGTTCAAAGGCCGAGCAAGAAAGAGCGTGAGACCCTCAGCTAGGCATTCGGGGAGGCCTGCGACCCATCGTTCCGCCCCAGGGTTTGGGATGTAGAGTAGTACCGGGGCCTCAATAATTAGAATAGGGTTTTGGGGCACAATATACTATAATTGTAATAAGGAAGGAAGCACCCAAATCGAGAATGCAGAAAGCGAGCGGAATGGGGCCTTCCCTTGCCCGGTCCGGCCTGGTCGTCCAATTCAGAACCTGTGTGTCCCCTGGCTTGCATGCCTGCCAGGCTCCCAGCACTTGGAAAATTCAGGGAAGTTTTGCTTCAGCAGCAGAAGGATTCCTAGGCATAGCCCGACGTGCTCAGGACGCATTTCAAGCCTGATCTTCTCATCTTCAACTGACAAAGCCAGAGAGACTCACCACCACAATCGCAAATCCTGATGTAGAACACTCCCTAAACCACTAATACAGGGGCTTAAACAACTGCCAATACTATTTTGGGGGTACCTTATTGCAATTGTAGTATATTGGGCCCCAAAACCCTATTCTCATTGAACTGTAAATCGGGCAGATTCTTCTGGCTTCGAAACGCGCTTCGAGCTTACGAGGACTTCGGGGTTCGGCCTTGGAGGTGCCCAGAGAGCCCAATACCCCTTTATGAAGGAATATGGCTTAAATTATACAGGGCTTAATAGTATGACTTAAGCTATCTTCCTTAATTAAGGGATATCGGAGTCCCCTAAACCCTAAGCCCTATAGATCCCCTATAGATCCCTTAGAGGATCCCTTAAAGCCCTAGGTATTAAGGGGTATTGGGCTCTCTGGGTGCCAGCTCCTTCAGTCTGTGCGGACAGAGGTCTCTGGCGAACAACGCAGCAGATGACTGCTGCCTCTCAGAAACGTTCGAGTAATCTGTGAGCGAAGCATCCAGGAAGTGGGTGATGGTGTGTATTATTCTGGTAGAATGATAATAAGGACTTTTTTGGGGATACTCTCCGGAATTCTGTTGGGACTCCTATGTTATTGGACTTCAGGCTTTGCCTTGATACTTTGACAAAGAATTTTGGGGTCTATTGTACTATAGTTACAAGTAAGGAACCCCCAAACTAGTATTGGTAATTCTTAAGACCCCTGTACTACATGTTGATAATACCCCTTATAGTAGCCCTTATCGAACCCTTTAAAGGAACCCTGTTCCAATTATTTGGTACCTCCTAAACTAACAAGGACCCTTCTTTGTTGATGATTGAGGCTCCTATACTAAACCCTTACCATAACCCTTTAAAGGAACCCTTTATGGAACCCTTTATGGTACCCTTTAAAGGAACCTTTACTTATTTGTAATGAGGCTTTGCAGTTTTATCAGAGGTGCCTGGCAGCCAAAGTCGGCCCAGGTCTTGAAGTCCACGACTCCGGTGCCCAAAGGGCAGCGGAAGCCAGCACTTCTCGCAGAACTCGCGGAGAACGTGCCTGGACTTGGGGCTTAGGTTTTAGGGTTTAAGGCTTCGGGTTTAGGGCTTGCAGCATTTAGGGTTTAGGGTGCTCCCCACGTGCTTTCAAAACTCTGTCAAGTGATCTGCCCGCGGAGGTCCAAATGCTGAGCAGTTGCAGGTTGTCGTTCGTGTGCAGTCAACCTCGTCCTCCTAGCCACACAAGATCGATAGGATTTGGTGAAGAGTCAACAATCCGAAGCCCTCTTCCTCCCCATCCTGTCGACAGATACATCAGCAAATCTCGGCCTGCTCTACACATCAATCACATTGCTTCTGAGTGTCGAGGACGAGATTCTCTGCGGAAATGTAGGCACCGAACAACGAGTCGGGGTGTTGGCTCAGGTTGGTGGACTCGAGCGTCAGAGCGCCTGCAACAAGATCCGATTGTCAGACTCCTGCGTCTGCCAGAAAATCTAGGGCATAGGATTATTTCGTCCACCGAGCTGTAGGATACACTACATGTACCTGCAACATTTTTTTGTTGCCACGCTTGGGCGTTGACGAGGAGGCAGGGGACCCTTGCCTGCTGATCTTGTCACCAGGTGTGGCAATATCGTTGTGCGCTGGTTCAACCCAGAACGGCTGGCAGCAAGTGTTGGAAACAACAGCAAACATCCTGTGAGAGCCGTGGGTATCCAAATGAGTTGGATTTCATGATCGGTGTTCCACAAAGGCAAGGGACAAGAGCTTCACGGACGAAGATGTGGGAACTCTAGCCTTGAACCAGTGGCCCGTCAAGTGCATATGTAGCTTTGGCCTGGGCCGGGTTTAGCATGTACGAATTTGCTGTTGGGTGCCCCTGAAACACTGAAAACCCCAGGTTCGGTTATGCCTTGGACCTTGCGCAGCATGTGGACATGGACAAGTCTCCAAAACATGCACGCAATGTGAGAGGCTCTCGAGAAAAACACCCAGATGTACATAAAGACCATCTGAGGGTCCCTAAGTCAGGTATCCCTTATCCTTAGCAGGCCCCATGTGCCCACTTCTCCGGCCTGCAACATCGAAGTCTCTCACGCTCCGCGCCCCACCATTCGACAGCGTCAACTCCTGGAGCCACTGGTCCATGTTGCCATACAGAGCACGAGGGAAACAGAATCGCAATAACAAACAAAAGTGATAGAATGATATTAAGGGAAACAAAGACAAAGCAGCCATGATCATGTTGGTGGTGGTGATAATGATGATGATGATGATGGCGATGATGAGGATGGTCATGATGGTGATGACGGTGATATGGTTGAAAGTGATGACGATGATGATGATGACAGAGGTGATGGTCATAACGATGATGATGACGATGATGATTATGAGGAGGAGGAGGAGGATGAGGAGGAGGAGGAGGACGACGACGAGGAGGACGAGGATGAGGAGGACGAGGATGAGGACGAGGACGACGAGGAGTCATGATAATGAATGATGACTGCGACGACACAGATTGATGATAATGATGCCAAGGATACGAATGACGACGATACTGAAAATGATGAACAAGACGTCACTGAGTGTGCTGATGATGAACTTGATGGTGATAATGATGATGATGATGATGATGATTGTGCTGGTGCTCGTGATGCTGGTGATGATGATCACCAACACGATGATACGGATGTGGGCAGGGATCGTGATCATGATTCTGATAGCCATATCGACATGATGATGAGCAGAAGAATGAAAATGAAAATACTAAAATGGTGAATATCATTGTAGTGGGTAGATACATTAATATATAACAATAAGAATGATCGCCAAGATGCAATATGCGCGGCTCTTGTCCCTCAACCCCAAGCCCTAATTAAACCTGTGATGGATTAACAACGCCTTTGGTGTAGCCTTTGTGGCTCAAAGTCATTAGGACGTGACTCCGGCTCTTCAGTACTTAGTTGACGACCTAATCATCAACTGGCTCAGAAGTTCTGCTGCGCTCGAAAGCACTTACTTGTTAAAACCAGGTCGCTAGAGAGACGCACAGACAAGCTCTTTGCCGCTGAAGGATCCCTAGGGTCTCCCCCAATACCCTTTAATTAAGGAATATGGCTTAAGTTGTAAAGGGCTTCATTTTATGATGTTAAGCTATATTCCTTAGTTAAGGGGTATTGGAGTCGCTGGGTACGTGTATTCACTGTACTCCTCTTGGGCCCAAAGCCGGCCCATTTGGGCCCTCCCGGAAGCGATTCTAAAACCTTACAATTACTTGGAGGTTCATGGGTAGTTTTAAGTGGGGTTGTAAGTCCCCTAATATAGGTTCTAACCATAGGTAAACATACTTATAACTGTCTAGCTTGCTTTTGACTCCCTGAACCCACGATCCTGGATCCGCACGTCCGCTTCCGTGCCGTTGTCTGGAATGGCAGCAAAAGCCGCCGCAAGCACAGCAGCATCGCAGCGCTCAAACGACAGCTTCCCAAAGTGTCCTGGAAGTTCAGGGTTAATAACCCTGAACCCTAAACCCTTAAGGGTTTCCACGGCTTCAGGGTTGAGGCAGGGCTTGAGGGTCGAGGGCAGTTTGCGAGCTCCCTGCGCCAGGTTGAAACCATGGGCACCCAGCATGGGCCCTTAACCCTGGGATCCTGAAATACCTACTATATACCATATTAGGGGCCCATACTTCGAACCTTATAGATGCATAACCGCAAAGGGCTCTTTGGGAGGTCGTAGGTTCAATCGCCCGGCTTGCTGCCACGTGCTGGCATTAGGCCTTTCACTTGAGTGTTCGGCCCACATTGACTGGACGTGTGGATTCACATGCGAATGGCCCGTGGATACCGGGCGCAAGTAGAGAACAGGATCGGAGCATTGCATAGCACCACAAACATGTAATTAGTATTATTGATATTGGTAGTTGTATTTGTATTAGTATATTATATTAGTATTAGTATTAGCAAGGCTCGGGGTTTTAGGGGTGTTTCCATACCTCGGCATCCGTTGCGCCACCTCTGATCTGCCAATATTTCCTTACATCCACCCATGGTACCCAGAGACTCCAATATCCCTCAATTAAGGAATCTTCCGTAAATCATATGAGGGATCCTATTATAGTTTAAAGTATATTCCTTAATTAAGGGATATTGGAGTCTCTGGGTACTGCCAGGTCCTAGTAAAACTCGACTGCCTCTCACAGACACTGGGACTCGTTTGCTGGAGGGCTTAGGGAACACTTACTTTCATGGCTGTGCAGTGAGGCAGAAGAACCTCAAAATCTTCATTTAGGGTTTAGGGTTTAGGTTAAAGGACTTTAGCGGCCATGTGCCCAGCAGGGTCATAGCCGAATGACACGGAATTGACAACCAGTGCGGCTTCAACGGACCCCCCCAAACCCCGTCCACATCAACAACAGCCGAAGAACTGTAAGATGCTGCATGACAAAATGTACAAGTTGGAAGCGTGAGAAGAGCGGAGCTTGCCGAGAATGCGGCTCACAAAACTGGTGCAATTACCTACCCTACCGGCGACTCTCCTGCTAAAGCGATCCCCCAAACCCTAAACCCTAAAGAACAAGAATCTAAGTACTCAGGATCCTAAAACCCTTAACCCTAAACCCCTAAACCGTACAAGGCCCTAAAGCCAAGGCTTCAAACTCCTTGCCCGGCTTTCAAGAAAAGCCCGCCGCCAGTGTTGCCTGCGCTGCATGCCTGGTCAGCGGGTCTTGCTTCTTCAATGGGACCTCCGGTGCTACTTGGAGGTTCATGGGTGGTTGTAAGTGGGGGTATAAGTCCCCCAATATAGGTTATTACCACAGCTATCCTACTTGTAACCCTACTTATAACTACCGACCCATGAACCTCCAAGTACCCTGCAAAGCAGCAAAACACCGCAGTCAGCACCAGAAGAACAGAAGCTTCACCTTTCAACACCGCGAAGACGAATACTAGGGAGACAGCCGCGACGTGACCCTAGCAGCACAAAAGGTTTTTTTTAACACTTAAACTTAAGCACTTGATTTCAAACTCGAACACCCTTCAAATGACCTAAATCCTGCAAAATCGTAAAGCTGGAAAGAAAGATGCACCGTGCACTTCTCCTGCACACGAAACAAGGTGGTTTGCAGAACCCCGACGACCTCAAGAAGTGAAACGAAAGTGAGGCTCTCTTCGAAGATAATAAAAGCTCTTTACTTTGGATCATTGCCACCCTGAATAAACCCCAATACCCCTGGCACCCAGAGAGCCCAATACCCCTTAATTAAGAAATATACCTGTAGGGCTTCCAGGGATCCTTTAAGGGATCTACAGGGAACCCTGAAACCCTAATCTCCTAAAAGCCATCAAGTCTCAGAACCCCAAACTCCCCAAACAAAAAATTTAGGGTTTAGGGTTTAGGGTTTAAGGTTTAGGGTTTAGGGTTTAGGGGCTATACCCTCATGACCCTCCAGACCCCCAAATTTTCAAAGAACAGTAAAATCGACCTTCCTTGGAGCCCTTTGAAAACTTGCGACGGGCCTCAAAGGTGAGGGAACCGCCGTGGAGAACCTTGCGCTCAAGGGGTCCCCTTAATGGCTGATTATAATGGAAGAGTTTCGGACTTCTAATGACTTCTGAGGGTTTAAGGTAAGGTTTGGGCGTTTGGGGTTTAGGGTTTTGGAATTTTGGTGGCTTTGGGAAAGGGTTTGCAGCTTTGCAGTTTCGGGGTTGAGGATCTCCTTGCCGCTCCTTCTCCGAATGTCCTGGAATACGGCTCCTACTGCTCCAGTTTTAGCCTGAACCCTAAAGCTTTTTCTATTTTGGATCTCAAGTTTTCTGAGACTCCCACCTTGCCGTCTTGCGGGACATGTAAGCCACCACCTGAAGACGAGGCTTCAATGCGTAAGAGTTGGGTTTGAAGTTGGGCTCCGGGCTTTGGGTGCATGGCGATGACTTTAGTCTGGAGGTGTTTCGGGTTAGGGTCTGGGATGTAAGGTTGAAGCTCTGGCTTTTGGAGCACAATTCCATGTCGGGTTTTCAGCCTGTAGGAGTACAGGGGTGCAGATTGTTAGGTCTTCTGTTGTTTGGGAGCTCTTGTCTGTCATGCAGCTGCTTCGCTATGTCACTCTCTCCTAGTTGGCCACCCGCAGCTTGTCGGATTGCAGTGACCCTACACTACCAATCAAGGCAGATTTCGTGGCCTACTCGTGCTCGACACATCTTGAAGTGCAGCGAGCCATTTCCGTCGAGATTGGAGGTGTGAAGGCCACCACCATGCCCTCAGCATCAGGCTCTGTCCAAACTGGCAGCTGCAACGCTGCGTCGATATGTGGCAACTGCTGGCTTCGAGCGCTTCACACATGCTCGAGTGGGAGATGCTGAACGCTGACAACCATGTGTCCACACCGAAACAACAGGAGACATGCTGTGAGGAGTGCCAGCGTGGACTCCAGGAGACCCCCGCGGCTTGTGCATAACAGCTTCCCAGAGACTCCAATGTCCCTTAATTAAGAAATATACCTTAAAAAAAACTAGGATCCCTGATATGATTTAAGGAATATTCCTTAATCAAGGGATATTGGAGCCTCTGGCTTGCTGAAGCCCGGGCAGCACTCCGTGATGAGCCCTAGGTAGGGGGTCCATGTTTGAGGGTTGATGGCTCATTTCAGCTCTGGTCGAAGGCCCATTTGGGATCGCACAGCTCAAGCACCATGCACCCTAGGTTTCGGAATCAGAACCCAGCGATTAGGATACTTATTCCCGTCTTCAGCAACCCTTTTGCAGGTATCCAGGGGCTCCAATATCCCTTGATTAAGGAATATTCCTTAAATCATATGAGGGATCCTATGATAATTTACGGTATATTCCTTCATTAAGGGATATTGGAGTCTCTGGGTATCCTCCAATGCCAAGGCGCCCAGACCGGTGGTGCAGTTCTCGAAGGCAGCCGAACTTCCAGCTCCCTGGAGGTACTGACGGACAGCAAGGCCGCCACCTGAGGACCCAATAATCCCTGTACCCAGACCTCCGGGAGGATCCGAAAAGTAGATCCCTTAATGGGGGTTCCTATCAAGTACCCTTAGTAGCATAGGGCCCCAACTAGGGGATCTACTTTCTAGATCCTCCCGGGGGTCTGGGCATGGAAGGACTTGTAAGTACCAGAACAATAAACAGACTCACTGCGGCGGTAGCAGTCGCCTTGCCCGGCGACGGTATTAATTGTTGCAACTGCTACCCACTTTATTGATCTTGCCCTTGCTATTCTTCAAGTGTTCCTTCCTTTACCTGTGTCTGTCTCCTGCTACTGCCATTGCTACTGCTGCTGCAACACCCGCTACTGCTGCTGCTGCCACCGCCACGTGCTGCTTACTCTGCAGCTGCTATTGCTGCCTCTACTACTACGACTAAGACTTCTCCAGCACTAGTATCCCTCGTGCGGTGGCATCATCATGAATCCCTCAGCACTGTTTAGAGTCCGACCTCAAACTGGTCAAGCCCTCAAAGCGTCCAGTCTCAGCTGGGCTCGATGCCAAACCCTGAATCCGCTCAGCGCCCATTTCAGATCCTATGTTCACGGGCTTCGGGAGCTACAGTTGGAATACGTTTCTGGGTGGCAGCCACTGCCAACATGCCATCCATGGCATGTGCAGGCAGCAGTGCATTGTGGCATGCAGGTCAGCATGTACGTAGAATCGATGTAGAGCTGTGGATGTGCTCTTGTTGTTTGGGTGTCGGCGTTGAGCAGAGGCTGGATGGAAGACATCGTCCATGAAATCAACTCTCGTGGGAGGAGTTTCCAGGGCTGTTCGAAAACTTACAAGCGCCCCTCACCGAGGTCCAGAAGTTGAAGCAAACACGGAATGGCACCTTCGCCTCACCTCCTAAACCCTAAACCCTAAAGACATACCTTGCTGCTGAGTCTCCCTTCTCCCCAACTCTGCAGCTCCGGAAAGCTGCGGAGCTGTTGGGACCCTGTCTGAAGCGTTGCACGTGGGCTCCACCACCGTCTGGCAGAGAGGCGACTCTTAGGGAGGGGCCCTTGGTTTCTCCAGCAACTTAGGTCCAAGGGCAAAAGGAGGGACCCTTAATAAGGACCCCTAGGTATATACCCTCAATGTAGGTATTATATACCCTTTATATAGCCCATTATAGGGTAGGGGTCCCCATTAAGGGTCCCTCCTTTTCCCCTTTGATTAGGGTTCAGAAGTTAGGGTTCGGGGTTTAGGGTTTACCGGGAGGCTCAAGGGTAGTTATAAGTAGGGTTATAAGTCGGGTAACTATACTTATAGCCTATGTTAGGGGACTTATACCCCGCTCATAACTTCCCATGCACTTCCAAGTAGACCCTAAACCCTATACCCCTATCGGACCCCTATCGGTCCCTTTAAAGGGACCCTTAAAGGAACCCAAACACTCCTGGTGCCAAGGCTCCAAACGTAGCCTCGCAGCTGTCGAAAAGCACCAAGCTCGACTCTTGGGTGAAGTCCTCTGCGAGCAGGCCCCCGCCACTGCCTGGGCACGGGCACTGTTCTGTTGCGAAAGCTGAAGCAAAGATTCTGCTTGGCACGCATCCCACACCCAACTCGGCCATCGCATCGGAACACATTTACTTTCCGATTGAGCCCATGTGCTCGTGACTTAGATCAATACCGAAGTTCTTGGATGGAACTGCCTCGGCAGTAAGGCAACGCCAAAAAGAGCTTTGAACCAACGAAAGTAAACGATAGCTAACCGAAGTAATACTAAGTACTGGTGAACGGTGAAGGGATATGAAATTACGTCGCGGACCTAGAGCAGATTGCTCAGGCAGGAATCCGCCATATCAGGCCCAGTATGGAGAGGGGCCACCTCCCACCAAGGGTTCAAGGTTTAGTTCAGGATTTTCAGTTTACGATGGCTGAGACAGTTTTTGTCCTCTTCTGGAGGGTGCATGACAGCGCCTTGCCAAACCTGCCGCCCGGCCTTCGCGCACGACGCAGCCTCGGAAGGTTGCGGAGCTGTGGAAAACCTGGCTGACGCTGCCCCGCACATGCACACCGCCACCACCTTGGAGATAGCAGTTGAGAGACAGGAGCGAAACCCTCAAACACTACAGTAGGTATCGGCTGCCGTTACTATAGAAGCCTTAACAATTACCTATACTGTTTTCGTGGTTCCTTACTATTGATCTAGTATAATGAATCCCAAAACCCTATTAATTCTAATCTTTACGGCCTCCTGTATTATATGCTCACAGGTGGCTCTCTAGTCGCCTGGTCACCCGCGCCGGCACACGAACTGCAACGGCGAGGAAGGTCGAAACTTCGGGGCATATCTGGGGACAACCGCCGCGTAAGGGCCGAGGCTCCCTTAGAAGCCGTGCAGTTCTCGAAAATCGCGGCGCTCGCATTTCTTTGGATGAAGTTCGTGGTCAACACGCCGCCGCCTGGTTGCCGGCACCGCTTCAAAAGCTTCAGATGTCGTGAAAACTGCATGCCCTGGAAACAGCTGGGCCTGGACTACTGGTGAGTTTCTACCGATGCCTGCAATAGCCTCTATCAGTTTGAACAATAAACTCGGAGCGGTAGGACAAGGCGAGATCTGCATCGAGACCTGATTGCTTGCTTCGCAACATGTGTAAAAAATCTCCACAGACATGATGTGCTGTTCTTTGCGTGCCGACTCCATATGCTCCTAGCCACAGATGTGGAACCGCTTCGAAGCTGGAGCTCTCGAACATGCAACCACCATCAACCACCGTGGCTACGTGTTCAAGCCTCTGGAGACCCTCATTCAGCAAGGATTGTCTATGTATCCGTCTACCTGCTTATCGTTGTGTCCGGGCACATGTAAGTACCGCACAACATTTGCTCCACCGAAATGGCGTTCGCAGTGCAAGGGGAATAGCACATCCTACTCTGCAAAAGTGTGAAGGATGCTGAAGCTTCTGTCACATGGCAAACACTTCCCCCTTTCTGAAGTTTCCCCTCTGAGAAGCGACAGAAACCTTGATCAAATCTCTGCAGCATCTGTAAACGAGCCTTTGCTACCGGACAGTAAGCTGGTGCTAAGGGGTTTAACTTAAGTTAACATATTAAGGAAACCATATTATTTCCTATAGATCCCTCTTATGGTAACTTAGCTAACATTCCTTCACAAGAGCCCAGAATACAAAGTCCTGCCAAGGCTCCTGTGGCATTCGCCTCGCACTTCTCGAAGAGTGCCTTGCTCCGCGACTGGGAGAACCCTAAACCCTAAACCCCAAACCCTAAACCTGCCTTGCTCCGCGACTGGGAGAAGCTGCCGTTGGTCTTGATGTGCAGCCCACCGCCTGAATCAAGGGGCGGAGCCCACAAGGCATCAACTCATATAGGGTCCTTAAAGGGCTCTTTAAAGGGATCTATAAGGTTCCTCAAAGGGATCTATAGGGTTTTGGGTTTAGGGTCTGCTTGGAGGATCATGGGACTTAGTAAGTAAGGTTATACGTACCTTAATTGGGGTTATAAGTAGTTATAAGTAGGGTTACCCTCATTATAGCCCTAGTTACTAAGTCCCATGATCCTTTAAGTAGGGTTTAGGGTTTAGAGTGTAGGGCCTAGGGTTGACACTCGCGTAAGCGCTGGGCAGCCGAGGGCCTCGGCGGAAGCTGCTAAGAAGCTGCTGGGTCTTAGTAAGAGCTTTGTAGGTTAGGAGCTGCCCCCACCTTGTAATAGTGACCATAAGGATTATATTGGGGATTATTAGGGCCCTATTATATTCCTATTATACCACTATTACAGGGTGGGGGCCCCTTCTAATCTGTAGGGTTTTGAGGGCCTGCGTAGTGCTTCGTGCGCGACCATGTCCGGGAAGCGGCTCACGAAGAAACCCTTCAGTCGAAACTCTGCCGAAACCTTCTCTCAATGTAAAATCGGAGGAGCCCCCTTGAAAACGGCTTCCTGCATCATGCACTCCCCCCCAACCCACCCCTAGGGTTGTGCTCCGGTGTTGACTGCACCCAAAACAACGGACGGTTGTGTAGATCAAGAATTCGTGCCACTGTGCCAGGTTTGAGCTGTGACGTCGCAGCTGCCCCGCATGTCGAATCCGGAAAGTCACGAGGAACATAACAGGTCCAATCCAGGTGACTGTTGGCAAGCTTACAGGCGGCGATTCCAGCCTCCGAAGACGAGCCCTAAACCCTAAAATTCCTAAAACCCGCCGAAACCTTAAAACACAAACCCAAGGTTCCTAGCAAACTCGGGATCGTGAAGACATGGACCTCCTCGGCCCGCGACGCAGCTCCGAAATTCGGCGGAGCTCTTGGGACCCTGCATGAAGTGCTGCAGGTATGCGCCGCCACCATCTAGGTGCGAGAGAGGAGGGCACGGGGACGACTGGGGAACCGCCCTGATCTATCAGAAAAGCTCTTCCCGTCGCCTGGCAGCTCCTTCCGATGTCATGAGACGCCGGATATTCGCAAGACGTGCCACGCACGCAAGACAATCTCCAGAAGGAGTTGCTGATTGAAGCGGCTTCTATCAGGATAAGGGATACCATAGGGTCATAGGGGCTAGCAGATTCAAAGGGTCACGATAAGGATAAGGGTCATTAGATCAATATGAACAACGGGCGTTAATGTAAGAACAAGCATTCCTGAAGGGGTTACCCGGTTGCCCGAAGCGTCGACGAACCGTGTCAGCAAATTGTCTCCAAGGCGCCTTCCGTAGCCTCACAGTTCTCGAAAAGCACCGTGCTATGCGCCTCTTGGGTGAAGCTGGCGTCGTCCAAGCCGTAAAGCCCACCGCCTAGGGGCTTCGAGGGATCGGAGCTCGTTAAGGTTTCGGCCAAACAGCGGTTTCAACATGTCACAAAGCCTGTTTGTGCGTCAGGACGGCAAAGCAAGTGCCAGAACTACTCTCACCTGCGAGGCCAGCACGGCAAAAAGCACTTATGTAGCCCATCTCTCAAGACGGCCGACCGTCACCATGACTGCTGCTGCGACTGGCATACCACGACCACTACCACTACCACGACTGCTACTGCGACGACTACTACGACGACCACTAGTACTACTACTGCTCCTCCTCCTGCTGCTACTAATTACCACTACGACGACGACTACTACTCCGACTAGTACTCCTACCCCTACTCCTACTCCTACTGCAACTTCAAATCCACTGCCTGCACCATCAGCAGCAGTGCCAATAGCAGTAGTGTGGTTCGTGAGACTATTGCGATCATCATTTCGCGGTAGTGTAGTTGCTGCCAGGACTCATCAACCCTAAACCCTAACCCCCACAACTTGCTGCCGAGACTCCTTTCTTCGCCGTGCAGCTCTGGAAGCGGGCAGAGCTGCCGGCACCCTGGCTGAAGCGGATCTCTGCGTCTGCTGGTACACGGCCAAACTTGCCAAGGGCCATGCAACCACCTCAGCAGAAAAAGTCAGAACTCACATCACCACCTCCGCAGCATCCCTAAGACACCCAGAACTGAAACTACTCCCGGTTTTTTCAAGCGCTCCGTCTCCGACAAGTCCACGCACTGACCGAGACCGTGCGTTCCTCCAGAGCCTGTTCCCAGACCCGCGGGAGGATCCAGAAAGTAGTATAGTTCATTAAAGGATCTAATGTTTTGGATCCTCCCCAAGGTCTGGGTTCTCACCCTGATGATGATCAGGCAAGTGCCGCAGAGGCTCCTAAATCAGCTGTGCAGTTCTCGAAGAGCAGCGAGCTGTGCGACTCTTGGATGAAACTTGTTGTCAACAAGCAGCCGCCACTGCCTTGGCACTGCGGGACAATCCCAAAAGCAGAAGCTCAGGTCCTGGCCACAAGATCCGTGGGAAGCGCCTTCAACATCCGACAGTTCATCACTTCCCTGCCCCAAGTTCCTCCGCGCACCTGCGACCGCACTTGAAATGCCAGTCCACACCGCTGCCCGGCCTCCTCCCCAAGCAGATGTCGCTGCCCGACAGCCCCGGAAACGCGCAGTGCAGTTCGGCCCCTGGCTGAAGCGATCTTCCACGTGTGCGCCGCCACCGCCTCCGAGGAAACATACGACTGGGAAGCATCAAAAGCTTCTTTTCGCAGGAGGCATCTCCAAACCCACATCATATCGACAAGTTTGCCTGAACCTTACACCCTAAACCACCTAAACTCCAAACCCTAAGTCCCCTCAACCCTAAACCCTAAACCCCAGCTACGCCCTAAGTCCCCTAAACCGCCTAAACCAAAAAACACCCTAAGTCCCCTAAACCACCTAAACCTAAACAAACAGCATCAAGTCTGCCATCTGCCGAGGCTCCGAGGACGGAGTGGCAGTTCTCGACCGATGCTTTCGCCTCTTGCACGAAGTGCTCGGCGAAGAGGCCTCCACCTGGGTCTTTAGGGTTCAGGGGTTTGACAGGGTTTAGGGGTTTAGGGGTTTAGAGGTTTAGGGGTTTAGGGGTTTAGGGGTTTAGGGGTTTAGGGGTTTAGGGGTTTAGGGGTTTAGGGGTGTAGTGTCTAGGGCTTTAGAGGTTGAGGGTCTTAGGGCCGAGGCAAGAGGGGCTCAAACACGAAGTCATAGCAGCCTACAGCCCAAAGCTCGAAAACCCTTCACCCTAGACCCTGAACCCCTAACTACCCTCAAATGACACCCCAAGTACCCACTATTAAGGGCCATAAGGACTCTATTAAAGATGGTAGACCCTGCATCCAAAGCCCAAGAAAGGCGCTCAAGAGCCTTTCCATGAGCGTGGAAACCTCTTTGAGACCATTATTGTCGAAATTAGGGTCCGTTTTTGGATCCGTAGTATAATACGGCACCTAATATTTAGGGGTTGCTACCCAAAAAGGGACCCTAATTTTGACAACCACCCATATTGATCTCTCAGAGTGTGATGAAGATTATGCTGATTATTCTTATTGTCACTCTTAGACGACTCCTCGGTATGATTTCACCAGTGGAGGAGTGACCGCTGCACTCGCATGAATGAATTATGGAGATCACTATCGGGGATTATTTCGGGACTACTATAAGGATCCATTCCCCCATTCCCTAGTAAGCACCAGACAGAGGACTTTGATCAATAGCGTTGGACCCGGAGTCGAAAGATCCGCGCTGCGAAAAATCACGTCTTGAAATGCAGGGTCTGTCAACTTGCCGGGGTGCTAGGGTTGATGATATAAAACCTGCATTACCCCTAACAAGGAATATACCCATAATTCCCGTAGCTTAGGGTCCTCAAGGTAATGCAGGCTTTATATCACCAACCGTAATAATGCGATGCCAAGGGACTTGGGGGCCTTATAGATGACTGTAGGGCTCATGCCAGGATCAATCCCTTCCAGGGGCGCGGCGGTCTGACACGGGGCCCTTCCCTTGCCCATGGATCCCCAAATTCCGTAGAAGGTGGACGATCTTACATGCGACGATACAGCAAAACGCTGCTGCCCAGGTGCCGTCCTGTGAGCTACAGTTCCGAAATTGCACGGAGCTGTTTGGCCGGTCCCAGGCACGAGTGCTGCCGCCTGGGCTTGAGAAAACATGGCCCTCCAGTCTTTGCTTTGCTTACCTCGGGGTCTACTGCACCCGACGAAGCTGACCCTTAACCCTAAACCCTAAACCGCCACCAACCTCGAAGCACGGCTTCCTTGCTCCGCTATCTGCCGCCGGTGCTCTCAAGTTCAATGCGTAGCGCTCCAAGGAGATCCTGCTCCTTTGGATGAAGCTCTTGGTGTACAGGCCCCCGCCTGAGTACAGTGCAGGCTCCGGCAGACGAGCAAAGCATCGCAGTCTAAATCTCAGACCTTCCTGCCCTCCTGCGTCTTATGTGATCTTATGTGCTGCACTGCGCGCAATCGTGGCATCACATGCCGCGAGAATTTCCGGATCCCGGGGCCTGTTGGGAGCAAGATCCCCCCAAAAGGATGCCGAAAGATCCTCAGTGATCACATCACCTCCGAAGACATGGCAGACTTAGTTCCCGAAGCTTAAAGCCGCCTCCGAAAGATCCGCACCCTGCTTAAAGGATCATGGGACTTAGCAACTAGGGTTCTAAGTAGGGTAACTCTACTTATAGCTACTTATAACCCCAATTAAGGTACTTATAACCTTATCTAAGTCCCATGATCCTCCAAGCGCCCTGCTGCCCTGGGGGAGGGCCTTGGAATCGTGCATAGCAGCTCTCGAACGTCAGGTCGCTGTCAGTGATGAAGTTCTCCTGGACGTGTAGGGCTCCTCCGTTTCCCACCTGGCCGATCGCAACGCAACGATGCGAGTTTCGAAAGGCTGGGACCTTTGTCTAAAAAGTCTTTGAGGTCCGGTGTTCCCATCCCGGCAGCACACCGCCTCACGGCTTAGAGCGCTCCCAAACCCTACTTGAAGCGTTCACGGGAAGTTATAAACATGGTATAAGCCCCTAATATAGGTCATAACCATACTTACCCTGCTTTTAACCCTACTTACAACTACGCAGGAGCTTCCAAGTTACCCCCGGCCTTCTGGCCGGAGTTCTTCTTGTTGATGCAGCCGACGAAGCTGGCTCGCGCAGCAATCACCGACATGTTCCCCAAAACCGTGATGCCTGGAGTCGCGAAAACTCTCAGAGCGTGCACAGTTTTGTGGGGAGGAGAGCGGGGGGGTGGGTGGGGAGGGAGGTTCCCTCATCATTCCACATGACCCCCAAAAACCCTAAATCCTAAACCCAAGAACAAGGAGTTTTCGAGAACAGGGGACCCTAATATAGTACCATAAATAGTAGGACCCTTACTAGAAGGACCCCCTATTAAGGTTCCCCCTAATTTTCGGAAACTCCCAAATGGCCCTACAAAAAAGAGCCCTAAAACCCTAAACCCCCAAACCCCTGAAACCCCACTAAAACCCTGCTAAAACCCTACTAAAACCTTACTAGAACCCCACTAAAACCCTACTAAAACCCTACTAAAACCCTAAACCCCGTTTTTCTGTCCGAGCTCAAGATCCGAGCCCGAGATGCAAGGTCCATCCATCTCCCCCACGCCCTCGATTTGCAGCTCACCCGCGAGGACCAAGCTGCCTGCCAGGCTAGCAACAACCTGCCTGGGGGTTCTCCCACTTGGTTCATGAATGCATATGTGTATGTATAGATATATATATATATATATGATATGATTTGCTATGTTTTTCGTTGTTACTATGACTATTCCTATCATCATAATATTCCACAGGAAAGACGCATGGAAACATCCTCTTAAAGAAGCTTTGGGATAAGGTCACGAGCTCGTTTCCTGGCTGAGAGCAAGACAGAGGTGTAGCGCTCCCTCTAGAGGCAAGCAAAGCCTCGAGACACCCGACGACTTCAGCCTCAATCCGGCGACACCAAGCTCCCGCTCGCGCTACGGGTTGATGATATAAATCCTGCATTACCCATAATAAGGAATATACCCATAATTCCCATAGTTTAGGATCCTTAAGGTAATGCAGGATTTATATCATCAACCGTATCACTGCAAAAGAGTCACGAACAGGCCCTGAACTCCACACCCGGCTATCGAACACGTCTGCGGCCTTCGAAGATCAGCGGTTCCTTCAGGGTCACCTCCCAGGCAAGCAGCAGTGGTTGTGGGCAGCCACATGCGGCTGCACCCGCACAGGCAGAGAGAAATTCGCTGCATTAAGGCTTGCAATTTTTTGCCTTGGAAATCGATGCCTTGCGGCTGAGAAAAAGAATAGGGTTCGGTGGTATCTTGCACCACAATTATGATAAGGAACCCCAAAACCCTGTTCTAATTATTAAAGCACCTATACTACACCCCTATAGTACCCTTACGATATTCCCTGAAAGGAACCCTTTAAAGGAAACCATATGTTCTGATTATGAAGGCCCCTATGGCTCAGGGTGTGATTCACGTGTCGAAGCTCAAGCCTTCAGCCCTTCGCCATGCCAGATGCAGCTGGTTCTGAAGTTGGGCATCGCATGCAAGACCTTTAGGGTTTACGGCTTAGGGGTTTAGGGGTTTAGGGTTTAGGGTTTAGTGATTCTTGGATTCCTACATGGGGGGTTTCCGCAATTGAGGGGTACCTTATTTTGGGATCCTCGTATGGTAAGGATCCTACTATTTAGGGTGCTGTATCAGGGTCTCCCATCTTCGGAAACCCCCACATGCCTTGAGCTTGTCCAATAATTCCTCTTTACAAACTCGGATCGTGCCAACCCTCAGCAGCTCAAAATCCTTCTCAAGCACACCCAGTGACGTGGCTGCCAGAGTGTGGGAGTCCGTTGCAAGGAGGGTAGCGGACCTGGTCTGCAGCCTCAGAGAGGACCAGGTGGGGCTAGCTTGTACTCCAATCTTAATTGAGGAATATTCCTTGATCCTATTAAAATAATCCTTAATTATGGGATATTAGAGTCTCTGGGCAAGGGTTTATGTAGCCATCTGGGCTTCCTCGGATTTGCCGAAGCGCCTTGGGCGGCTGAAGGGGCAAAGTCGGTTCCTCGTCCTCGAAGCTCAGTACTTGAAGCTTGAAGGTAGCCTTCTCAGCCTGAACGAACTTGGAGCAAGCTGGGCGCTTTGATCAAGTCCTAAACCCTACTCGGAGGTTCATGGGTAGTTATAAGTATCGTTATAGGTAGACTAACTATGGTTATAACCTATATTAGACTCAGAACTCCACTTATGACTACCCATGAACCTCCAAGTAAACTTCCAACCGTGAACCCGGAAGTCCGCTGGGACAACTCGAAGCAGGCTTGCAGGGATCTTGCAGACAGAAGTGGTGCTAAGGGCATACATACTACAGTGCTTGAACTCTTGTAGTCGAGCTTCACCACCACAACCCCAAAGCCAAACACCAGCGATGTCCCCAAGCATCAGTGTGGTTACACGCTTCAAAAAGGAATCTGAGAATGAAGCTGACGTGGACCACTCAAGAAGCACCCGGCTCTGTGCCGAGCAGCCTGAACCCTAAAGCCCTAAACCCTAAAGTCCTACAACCCTAAAACCCTTAACCCCATATAAACCCTGAACCCCTAAACCCTAAAAACCTGGAACACTGAATCCTTCATCCTCAATGCCCCTCCACTCTAAACTCAAGCTTTATACCCGCTGTACTGCGACACTTTGGTGGAGCTGTTGTTCGAGAAGGCTTCGGGCTTACCAGGGTGAGCACCTCAGGCTAAACAAATCCGAGATTTCAGCATCCTCCACAGGACGTCAAACATGAGGGATCCTGAACCCTAAGCCCTAACCGCCACGCCGCAATACAGGGGCCGTAAATTATACTGGAATTATGAGAAGGAGCCCCCAAAACAGTATAGGTAATTCTTAACGCCCCTGTAGTATCTGACACGACTTCAGCCAAGGGGCAGTCGCAACGGAAGTTGCCTCACCAACGGCTGCCTCACGCCCGAGAGCAAGGCCAACGGTACGAACGTAGGAGGGTTTCGCAGTTAAGGGTTTAGGGGGCTAGGGTTTAAGGTTTAGGGGTTTAGGGTTTACGGTTTGGAGGTTTGGGGTTTAGGGGTTTGGTTTAGGGGTTTAGGGGTTCGAAGGTTTGCGGTCCTATGTCAGCTTCTGCAGAGCAGGTACGCTACAACTTTGGCTTGGATTCCAGTCTCAATACCAAGACGCTGTGGTTGATGACACGTCCATAAGCTGAAAAAACTGATGATCCTGAGAATGACACGAATAATCACAATGTTTGTAAGTGATATGAGTACTAACAATGACAACAATACAACAAAATGAGACTAGCAAGAACAATCATCACAATAAGAAGGATGAGACCAAAATACAACAATATTGAAAATACTAATCATACCACTTCTGCATAGTAACAATCATAGTCATGAAAACAATAGTGAAACCCAGAGTCTCAGAGCTCACCGAGTTGCGACTCTTCAACTCGGCTTAGTGTTTTTGGCATTTGGGGTTCGGAGTTTAGGTTTACGGCAGAGGGTTGAACGTTCACGATTTAGAATTTAGTGCTTTCGACTTTGTCGCATCTTTTGCTACAGCCCGAGCCCTCAAGACCAAGAAGACCCGGAACTCTCCTTCCGTAAGCTGACAGGCTGACAGTAGCAACTGACACTCCATAGTAGAGGCAAAAAAGAGCTCAAAAAGACCCCAAACCCCATCAACTCGAAATGCTAAACGCGAAATCCTAAATACCCTGAACCCCAAAACCCTGCAACGACTTCCGCAAAACAAGGCATGGCCAACCTGCATGGCATCGGCGGCCTGGACCTCCAAAGCAGAGCTGGCGATGATTTGAGGGTGCCAGGGAGGGGTCTGTGAGAGTATCATGGGGTTTATTCCTTTGACTTTGGGAAAAGAAGGCTTTGCCCGAATATCCGGATTTCGGATTCGATGCAACACTGCAAGTGCCTCGTGCGAGCCCATGCTGACAACAGGTCCAATATCAGCCGGCAGCCAAGCGACGACTGCCCGTCTTCGGGACTGCCCCGATTCGAGCGGGAGCACTCCCTGGCAATCCCAAAACAAGGCTGGCTTTGATACGTTTCGAAAACCCGGACATTACGCTTCATGCTCATAGCATCCTTCGACCGTAGATATGCATCCACGTGCCCAATGCCATTTTGCAGTGTCTTACTTGAAACATGAGTGGGGAAAGCAATGCCACAACGATTTTGCCGAATCGCACTGACTGCCTATTCGACAGCTGCGACCCTTATAAGGTGTATTCAATATTCTCTCAATCCCCGCTGCATCGCAAGTTATGACCCATGTCTCTGGCCTCTGTCGCATCAAGCTGCTGGACATGCTCCAGGGATGGGCGCATGGCCCCTGCAGTCAGCAACTGCCCAAGGCCTGAGGCCGGGAAGCTTTGTTGCCGAAGGATTCGTGAAGTTGCGGAGCTCATCGGGAACGTACAGCTGATCACTGGCTTCGGTGGCTGAGAGGGGACTCCGACTCTCCGATGGAAGCGGTGCATCGAACTGCTGACTAAGGCACCGAAGACGTGGGCCATGGCAACAGCACGCAGCATCCATGCTGGAGGCTCCAAAGCTGTCGAGCAATTGAAACAATCAAACAACGGAATCACAGCCTGTGCCTGTGCATCTCCGGAAAAGGCTGTGTGGCTGCGGCAGGAACCCAATGTTCGTCTCTGATCACGACAGGACAACCACCGGGTTTCCAAAGTTTGCCGTGAGAATCACACTGTTGCTTCAGGGTGTCGACAAGTCTTCCTGTTGTTCTGCTCCCCCTCTACGCACGGAATGTCACACAGGAGGGGTTGATATGTTTGGATGTCAACAAGCCGAGCAGTCGGTTACCGTCTCGGACCCCATTACACACCTCATCAATCCGACTTACTTTCTTCTTGCGGCATGCCTCCAGCTTTCAGGCCAAGCCGATTGTTGGTCGTCGGTCAGACGCTCTGCATGGACTGTACTTGCGGAGTACAGCATTGCCATGCTTCACAAAGGAACAAAGTTCAAACAGTCAAACACTGACAATCACTGCATGCTGAAGGCTGTTCAAGGTTGCAAAAAATTCAATGCAAAGTTTTCGAAAAGACACAAGTTTGAAAATGTTCGCCGCAGCTCGCGGTTCTTGTATGAGCAAGAGATCGCCGATGGAGCGTACTTGTTTGCTGTGATCCTTTTCATGAACGGATTTTCAAACTCGATTTTCAAACATGACTCAACACTTTATTCACGTTGCAAATTTATCCAATCAAAAAGCACATAACAAGCAACGCAAAAAGAAGATGTCGCACTCGGTCCTAGCAAGAAAACCAGCAATACAAGACTATCAAAGCACAACTCAAGGTGAAACGGCTCAGACTGCGACGTACTGCAGGGGGAAGAAGCAGCTCAACGACAAAGTAAGCCGTTTTCTAGACCTTCAATCTGTGTCCCTCCAAAAGCCCTTTTTAAAGCTTCCGCAGCAAAATCAAACATCAGGCGTGTCTTCGGGGGTCTCGCAGCAGGTGCGTCAGAGATAAGCTAGGATGACACTTAGGGCGACGCTGTTGCAGTCACCCAATCGCATGTTTGCGATGACGACATGTTTAAGGATGCCGGTAGAAGTCTAGAATTTGTCACCAGAATGCAACTGTTCCAGTCACGAAACCCCACGCCTGCCAGGAGGACTAAAAGGAGGATGCTGAAAGAAATGTAGAAATTTCTACGAGGACGCCACTGTTCCAATCACCAAATCCAATGCCTGCTAGGAGGACGTTAAAGGATGCTGGGAGAAATATAAGAATTTCTACGAGGACGTCACTGTCCCAGTCACGAAATCCCACGCCTGCTACGAGGACGTTAGGCATGTACCCCTAACGTCCTCCCAGCGTCCCCCTACCGTCCTCGTAGCAGGCGTGGGATTTCGTGACTGGGACAGTGACGTCCTCGTAGAAATTCCTACATTTCTCCCAGCATCCTTCTAACGTCCTCCTGAGAGTGCCTATGAGCGTGTGCCACTGTCCGATGGTTTGAAAATGTCTAATTTACATTATGGCTCCAACTACAGTTGACGGTATATTCCTCAGTGACAGAGTTTGGGTCTTTCGGTTTAGGGTAAGGTTGACAGGTCAATCAAGATTGCTTGCACTGAGCTTCGCACATCGGAGAGAGTGTTTGATTCGGCATGGTTTGCCAATACGAAACGCATAGACCCCCACAACCTGACTTTTGTCCATGTTCTTTGCAGAAGTGATCTTCCCTCCAGCATCATCTGCGATTTAGAACAAGCTTTAAAACAATTTGCAGCACTTGCAGTCCACTTCTATTGCTCAGTGGCTCAATTGTGGGTTCTGGAGACTCCAAATCTCTTTGATTGAGGGTGAAGAACCAAACTGGAAGTCTCTGTACACTTGCCAAGTCCCAAATTGGAGACAATTGACTTCATTTAACCCCCGCACCCCGCAAAGCAACGTTGGTGCAAAGCGCGCTGTAAATGCCAGAGCAACCTTGCTGGGGGAAAGGGGTTCACCGAATTCTCATGAAGCTCGTCCGCGGCCAAGCTAGAAAGTGGTCACACATAGTGGACGCAAATTCCCTCAACTGTACATGTCAGACTGACGCAATCTTGCAGCTTGTTCCAGGTCCTAAGTTTGGCGATTTTGCGGTTTTCTGGTCGCTTCAGAACAGAACCCCAGTGGAGAAACCCACAAACTAGGCCCAACTTCTGGCCCCGGAGGCAGGGACATAACCGATGCAAAAACGACACGCAGCCATCGTGGCTAACCCAAGTGGGTCTCGCAAGGATGGCAGCTGAGCGGCTGGGCTCTTCGACACCGTGGAGCTCCAAGGCCGCGATAATGCCCCACCAATGGGACGGAGCGCAAGATCAGCGGGCCGGTGGGCCGCGTGCTGCCGGCTGCAAGCCGCTGGTGGGCATCCTCCCCCTTTATGGTGAACCTACCTGCCTTGTCAACTAAACATATATCCGCCGCTCCAGTGGTGCCGGCACACAGCGTCCACGATGGAAGGCTTCCATTATGCGGACAGCAATCGCAATTGGGGTTGGCCTACAAGAAAGGCCGGCACCTCCGCCTTGACCCTGATCTCAACAAACCGCAAGCCATTGTGCTCGACTGGTGCGACGCGTACGAGCTGCAGGAGGGAAGCCGCATCAGGCTCGTCGGTCAAGGGCTCTGGCTAAATAGAAAACCAACTGTACCGGGAGCAGCACTCCGCAGTGAAGAAGGAGACCCTGCTGCGGATCGATGTTCGAGCCCCCCTCTGCCGTGGGTCGCCGAGTGCTGGAGCCGGTGCCACAGTGGCATTTGCCGGTTTCGGTGGGCCCTCTCCGAGGTGCGAGAGACATTTGGATGAGGCTACCGTCGCGGACAAGGGACCTGCCTTGGCATTGGAGAGCGAGAACCGGAGTCCATCCAGTTCATCCAATAGCAACCACCACAAATCTCCGGACGCCAACTCATACCACGATAAATCAAAGACACCGTAGCACCGGGTCGCAGAACTGAGCCAGGGAGACTGCCAACATGGGTAGGCAAAACCGGAAAGCCTCACTGGCCGTACAGTGTCGCAGCATGAGAGCACGATCGGCAAAGTCGACCACTCGCGCTCCGAAGTTCTGAGGGCTGATCTTTACTTCGCATGCCGGCAATGAAAGGGGCAGCGAAAGAAGGGAGAGGCAATCCGTCCTGCTGGGGAGAAGATCCCGTAGCGCCATGGCACTTCGATGGGATGCTGTCGCCGGCCTGGTAGCTGCGAAGGATCTCGTGCTGTTCAGCAAAGTCATCCTCCTCCTCAGGCGGGACACAGTTGCTAGGAATGGCAACCCTGGCACCAGGCGGTCAGGGGGCGTCGACGGCGTCCAGCAATGCAGCCACTCGCTGGCTCCACGCAGTGTCAGGAGGCTTGGGGACGGAGGCGGCACAACTTTGGCTACGAAGCTCGGCCGTCATCCTCTTTAGCCGGTGCGCCATCCTCCGGATCGGGCAAGGCAAATCCATCTGTATCACAGAGGGCACGGGGCAAACCGGTGGTGACGGCGGCGTCGGACTTGTGGAGCGATGCAGTTTGCCGAGCATCAGGGCCGGGTCTCTGCCTTCTAGGCAGCGTACCTTGAAAGAAGTCTGGGTCGCGACCAACTGCCAGTTTTTCATTGCGCAACGGTTGCCAGATCTCCCCCCACCGGGATTGCTGACTGCCGAAGCGCAAGCCAAAACTCTGTTCGAATTTTTCTTCGGTCACCGAAATGAATTGGGAGTTTTCATTGACCTCTTTACCACTACTTCTCGCAGCTAGGCACGGCGATTTCGATCCAAATCTTTTCGTATCCAAGCGTCTGCAAAGGCACTTTTCGCCTCTTGCTTCCGTTAGACGATGCCTCCCTGGGTTTGCAAGCGCAGCCGACGCTCCCCCTCCAGTCCGCAGGGCTATTGCATGCCGCATTGTATTGTCTTCGCACAGCTGCCACCACCACCTCCAGTTGAGAGCTCAGTGCTGTTGTCGTGTTCTGGTTGCGCGGCCCTCGAAAAATGAACTTCTACTTCCCAGTCCGCCTGTGGCGCTATGCGCTTTTCGATGCATGGGACTGCAGGGCCCAAGTTCTAATCCATCGCTTGGTGGCACAAGAGTCCAATCAGGATGCTATGCCCGACGGTCGCCGTCCATGGTATCGTCTTGGCAACCCTTGGGTGGAATTGGCCCCTTTTTTGGCGTATGCGGGCCTCGTCGACTACAGCTGTAGCACTCGGTCCCTACAAACTAACAAACCAACAAACAAACGAAGACAGCGGTGAGACATCCTAATTAAGAGGACAAAACTAGCTGCGGCGCACAGGCTTTACCTGCGTTAGCCGTTCAGCATCAACTACGGGTCCTCAGCGATCGTTCCACGACAACAGTGAGCCGTCGCCCAAAGCTGTCCAGGACCATTGGTGGAGCCCAAATCCAAGGCTCCGGCCGCCGTTCTAGTTCCGTCGAACAACGGTCAGCCCCAAGGTACTGTTGTGTCCCGATCGTGCACGGCGAAATCCACAAGTCCAAAATCCATGGCCAGGAGATGGCAGGAACCGTCGACGTATGTCGACAGGTATGGACACAGTGGCCGGCCAAAGGAGCAGTAGGCGAAAGCCTGGTTCCTAGGTAGGGGGCCATTGATCGAGCAAACGCTGTATGTCATTGCCACCGCTCGGGAAATGGGATTCCCGCAGGAGGTACAGCAATTGGTACTGACCCTCGTCATACAAGCCTTTGAGACGGTAGAAGCGGTACTGTAGCGCGTCTATGTCGGGTTCATGTAGGTGCGGCATAAGCGCTTCGGATATGAATGGAAGCTGGATGCCGGGGCCAAGTCCCCCCTGCTTCCTGAAAGTCTCAGCCGCAGCGCGCCACTCGTCCTGTCCCCGAGGGTGTCCTAGCCGATACCAAGGTTGACTACCGTCAGGCATGGCACCCTGATTGGCTTCTTGTGCCACCAAGCGATGGATCAGGACTTGGGCCCGACAGTCCCATGCATCGAAATAGGCATGGCGCCACAGGCGCTCAG